TTAAATGGTATGATATAATCACTAATGTAAAGGTTTTGGGAGAGAACTAAACAAGTTAAGTTTTGCTTTCAGAAAGACTAACGTGAATGCGCTGGATCTCCAGAACAATTCCTAAATTTGTAAATGCAAAACAACTGTACAGATTGAAATAATTACAATTTATGTCCACGTGCTTGCCTGGGACATGCCCCAACCATTTCAATCCATTTGTATCCAAATGGTGCCAGTAATTAAATGTTATTGTGATCCAAAATGAATATTAAAGACTCATGTTATGAGTTGAATTATCTTCACAGCGCTCCGGACACATCCATATATGCTCATATTCCCACTTCAACATATTCATCAGTGTCGCCCTGTTGATAGTGCCAGTCGTATGTTGGTTAACAAGACTTCTTGTGCATTTGGTGAACCTTTAATATTGTTAACCCTTTCCTCCTTATAAGGACGAAATTTTTTGTTATTTGAAGCCCCACCCTGGCTTTTGCCAGGGGCCGCAATATAGGCAGGCCATAAATATGGCCAATTGTCTGAACGCGGTTTCTGGGACCTCTCCACGGTGATCCTCATCCACATGGTGGCACTTTGTGTCATCGGGTGTTTATCGCTTGTGTGATGTCCTAGTGGGGTAGACAGTCAGTCAGTCATTTGGTGAGCCTCTCATGCTTGGTTTACTAACAGTTTTTTGTATTTTTATCAGTGATGTGGCCATGTTGCTTTTGAAATTCTCGGAATTAATAATCTTTTCAATTATTTAGGATGCAGTCACTGGGAAAGCAATTATAAAAGAAGAAGAAACACTGCTAGAAACTTTTCAGATCATTAATGTAGCACCGTCTTTTTCATGACTATCTCCCTGCATTATTACCAAGGGAAATAACCAGTTAAACTGTGAAAACTTTAGTCTTTGGAGTTGTCATCCTGCTTTCCTACTAAAATGTCAGATGCATTTTAGTAATCAGTCGAATGCAAACATAAGTAACAGGAGAGGGGTTTGTTGGAACAAACAAATCAAAACAGCAGAAATACTTGACATCTTTCCATAATGGATTGTATACAAGATTCAGTGTAATTTTCCGCTATAAAAAGCAAATTTAGTCGTAACCAAACGGTCACAGAGCAAGTAGGAAATAATTTATCGAGGGGAGGTTGTAGACAGTTTGGCCACTGCTACACCTCTTAATTTTCAAAATATATAAAAAGTTAGCGGATGTCCTAGAAACGCTAGTTTAAATTTATTTTTTCCTATAGTCCTAGAGGTTAGCCACGCATATATTGAATAAGTGACCGTGCACCAAAACAGGTTATGGTCATTGAGAGGAGGCGAGTTAGTTGGTGGGACAGCTAACTCTAAAATACCTCAAAAACTCTACGACATGCCCATCAACGGGTAAGAGGCGCCATAACCCACCCCCCCCCCCCTGCTTTGCATGGTAAGTCTCTTTAGACAAAGGCTATTGGAGTCAAACCATACACAAACCGGTGGAAGTCAAGGGTAAACCACCGCTGTATTATCCCTAGTCAATCATGCCTCAAAATATTACAAATTCAGATAACGACGTGAATGGGGATTCCAATGGAATCACCTCGTCCGGTAGGGAGCATCATGTTCTACGGGTGATACCCGACCGTCATCCAGCTACTGTAGAAAAAGTAAATGGTAGAAACATCCTGAACATTGGTACATGGAATGTCAGAACACTCGTACAAAACGGAAAGCTGGATAACATCAAGATGGAAATGAAAAGAATGAACATCAACATATTAGGAATTAGTGAAATGCGATGGACAGAAGCAAGTGGAAAGTATTCAGATTAGCACATAATTATTTACTCAGGTGGGAAGGAATATAGCAAGGGAGTTGGTATTATTTTGGATCCAAAGAACTCAACAACTGTGAAAGGATTTTGGACAATATCAGATAGTGTACTATTAGTAAAACTTCGCGGCAGACCATTCGACATCAACTTAGTACAGATTTATGCCCCAACAGCAAATAGTTCAGAGGAAGATATTGTAGCATTTTATGATGAGTTGGACATGGCTGTAGATCAATGCAAAAATTGTGAAATAACAATAGTACTTCGATATTTCAGCGCGAAAATAGGAAGTGAAAAAGTGTACGGAATACCTTTTAAGGTCGAAATTTTTCGTTATTTGAAGCCCTACTCTGGCTTTTGCCAGGGGCCGCAATATAGCCTGGCCATAAATATAGCCTAAAGGCTGAACACGGTTTCTGGGACCTCTCCACGGTGATCCTCGCTCGCATGGTGTCATATTGTGTCATCGGGTGTTTATCGCTTGTGTGATGTCCTGGTGGGGTAGAAAGTCAGTCAGTGTACGGAATAACGGGTGGCTATGGCCTAGGAGAAAAGAATGTGAGAGGTGACAGGTTAATAGCATGGGCTGAATCGCACAGCGTGATAATAGGTAATACCTGGTTTAAACACTATCCTCGAAGATTGTGGACATGGAAAAGTCCTGGCTATAATGACCGCAATCAGATTGATTATATTTTGATTTCAAGAAGATTCCGGATCTGCTTAGTTGGATCAAAAACTAGACCAGGAGCAGACTGCTTTAGTGACCATGTTCCGTTATAGGAAAAATTAATGTAAGTAAAGAACATTAGAAAAACACCACAGAACATCAAGTTAAATTTAGGAATTCTTAGAACGGATAACGAAATTAAGGAACAGTACAATGTCACTGTACAAAACCGGTATAATGCAATAGAAATTATACAGACTATTGATGAACTGTGGGATATGTTGCGTGAGTCAATTCAGCAGACATTAAAAGAGACAATCCCACCAACCCATATATTTGCAAATAATGACTGCAGAAGTTGAGGATGTAATACATCATATGAAAAAAGGAAAAGCACCCGGGACATACAACATCTCACTGGAAGAAATCGAAGCACTGGGAGATTTTGAACTGAAATAATAACTAAACTTTTAAATGATATTTATAATAGTGGGAATATTCCAAATGACCTTTTAAAATCCATATTTATAGCTCTGCCAAAGAAACCAGGCACTTTAAAATGTGAAGACAATCGCACAATAAGTCTTATGAGTCACATGACTAAGAACAATTATGAGAAAAATAAGAAATAAAATTAAACCAGAAATAAGCGATGAACAGTGTGCATTTGTAGAAGGAAAAGGTGCATACAACGCCATATACATCCTAAGGACATTGTCAGAAAGAGCTATAGAAGTAAAGACTGATTTGTAGTTATGCTTCATAGACTATACAAAAGCATTTGACTGTGTTAAGCATGAAGAAGTAATCAAACTGTTAGAAAAGATCTACGAAAAATAAAGACTATGCATTGGCAGCAAACAGCAGCTATAAGACTTAACAACTGTTTAGGTACATTTCAAAGCACAAAGAGGGGCGTACGACAAGCATGTGTGCTAACACCTGATTTGTTTTCAATATACAGTGAATATAATTTTATCTTTAATTGATATGCCCGGAATTGTGGTTGGTAGGCACAAACAATTTACGTTATGCTGATGACACAGTCTTGATAGCAACAAGTCAGAAAGAACTACAGGAAATAATAAACATTGCGGTGTTAGAAAATGGAAGAATGGGCCTCCGTTTGAATAATGGGAAGACAGAATTAATGGTGGCATCAAAGAAACGAATTATTCCTAAATGTGTAATAAAAGTCGATGTTGTTATTTTAGGACAAGTACAAAAATTTAAGTATCTCGGCACATGGATAACATCAAATGGAAGATGCATAACTGAGATAAGAAACATAACAGGACAGGCAAAAACTGCATTTTATAAAATGAAAAATATCTTGTGCAATACATTCTTGTCATTGAGAGTTAGAAAAAGAATTCTTGCTTGCTACATACATCCAGTTTTAACATATGGCTGTAAATCCTGGAAAATCGGTAGGCAGGCCAAACAATTTATTGAGGCCTCAGAGATGTGGTTTTACAGAAGAATGCTTAGAGTACCTTGGATAGCCAAAAAGAGCAAGCAAGAGCTTTTGAAAAATGCGGGAGCCCAAAGACAACTTAGACATCAGAAGGAGACAGTCATCATTTGTCAGCCATGTTATGAGAAGAAGTAAAATGAAACATGTTGTGACCACTAGAAAGATCTGTGGAGGGAGGGAGAGAGGAAGACAAAGAGAGAAGATTCTTGACAGTCTTGTTGCACGGAGATGTGTCAGCACACGGTAGCAAATTAGCGGTTTGCCTTCACGACCAGAATGACAAGTGGACGTTGATTCATCTGACAGACGTTAGACTTAGGCAATTGGCGGAGACATACTGACATATGTTACTCTGACATTTTGGCTTTTAGGGATGTAAAGTTATTTTCCACTGGGGCTCGTACCAGTCTACCGAAGCCAATCCCCCACGACGTTTCGTTTCGTCCAAAGCCAGCCCGAAGCCTTTTCCGCTGCTTCGCCTAGCTGTTTTAATGCGCGCTTTCGCCCTTGTCCTCTCAATCGCAGGTGCTTTAGTATATTGTATTTTTAGTGGAGGTGGAGATGATTCCTCTTGTGCCTACCTCGACATCGAAGATTACGAAATCAAGTCTTCAGTTGATTAATGTTGAGTTGCGTCACTTAGACCAAAGTTCCGCCATTGCTCCACCCAGGGCTGCCAATGCTTGGGTTTTTCCCCCAGATCTGGGTTTTTATTTGACGCCTCAGGGAAATCTGGGTTTTTAAAAAAATATTTCCTTATATAAAAGTGGTAAATTTTTCGTTTCGTAACTATAAGTTTTGTTCATTTTTAACAATCTGGGTTTTTTATTTTGTTTTCTTGTTCTTTGTCTATGTATTGCTTGGGTTTTTGTTAAAAAAAGCTGGGTTTTTCAAAAAAATCCCATTGGCAGCCCTGGCTCCACCATCAGCAGACTGGTGGCTCGGTGACACGGAAGTAGAAACACGACGTTCTGCCACACACAACGTCTGGAGTGAGATAGATTCTTATTAAAAGTGGACAGTCGAACTAGGAATGACTGACGATGTTTCGACTATAGTGACGAATCTCGTCACGGCTATCGACACAGAAAGAACAGATGTAATTTGTTCAGTTTTGTCGGAATTGAAAAAATGTAAGCATCATTCAGACGTAGTTGTTAAGATACCAGAAACTAAATTTTGATTTATTTATTTTCACCGGCCTGAGTTCTGAGTTCAGTCAGTATTCAGTATTGATTGAGTTTGACAACATTTTTATATTTTAATAATTTAAGTTTCAGGATATTTCAATATTTTAGATTTAAAAGATAATAACAATAACAGAATTGTTAAATGACATTTATTAATTATTAATATTATATTATTATAATTGAATGAAGTTGAAAAGAATGGGAGAACTCGAGAACTTCGTGCAGTGGTGAAAGAAAGACTTGGCATGATATTGATATGACAGATTTGGTTGAGGGCCTGACACAGTGTGTCTCGGGGGGGGGGCGGGGGGGGGGAATAGTAGACAGAAGAAGAAGTGGAAAACATCCTTAATGACCAATTATTAAAGGTACTTTTCAGCCTTTTCACCCCATCTCAGGGGTGAAAGATTAATCATCATTTGTTACGAAATTCCTATGAGGTTATTATGCCTTACCGAAAATTCAAACCCGGGTCTCCCGCTTGAGATCCCAGTGTTCTAACCACTAACCATTCAGCCAGCCACTGGGAAATAGTACAACTACCCCTTAACAAGCGTGTTGTAAAAGGTATCTAATAAAGGTTTTGCTGATATTGCAAAAAAAGATGCAGATATCGCAGCCTAGCTGTAGGAAATAGTATAATAATATTGTATGAATATTTGTTTTTATTTTTGATATAGATACACATGACCCGGAAATTCTGCCCAAAGTCCTGAATGGGCTGCATACTCCTCATGGAACACTGCTGCACTATGCTACAAAGGTTTGCAAAAAGCTCAATAGTAGTGTGTTTATTTTTTTTGTAATTACAGAGTTTCTGAAGTGACAATAATTTTTTTTTAAAGTTGGTGACGGAAATAAAAGCGAGACAACAGAAACATTGTGACCATATTAAAAGACATAACCTGGTCACAAGCCATATAAAAAACAAAATCCATTATAAACATAACGCCCAGATTTCCTCATAACACAGTATTTTTTGTGGGATAATCTAAGAATCCCTCGCTACACCTCTGGCCAGACGCCAGACTGACCCACAAACTGAAGCAATTTTATATATTCCTAAAAGTGTCTGATCAAGCTGGTTGTTTGCAGAAATCAATAATTGGCGGAGGGTGGGTTGGGGGAGGGGGGGGGGGGAGGTGTTATAGTAATTTTACACAAGCCTGGCTCTTCATTAAAAGTTGCTCAGTGGGCTATAGTTTGCCCACCTGTGGTTTCCATTCAGATCCACCAGATTTTAAGGCTTGGATATCTGTTCCATGACAAAATAAGACTTTCACACTGGGTATGTTCCATGCTTCCACCCCCAACCAGCAGGGTCAGGATGTCATTTTGCTCTCTAACCTTTGAACTGTCCTACTTGAGAGGCCCTGCTGAAAGCTGTGCTACCATCAGCATAGCTCTAGGGTCATTGGGAAGCTAGATCCCCCCCCCCCCCCCATGACAGGATGGAGACCCATTGTATTGTTCACCATCATGTAGAAGATCCTTTGTAGAACATCTCAGTCTCTTTGCAGCTCTCTCTCCTCGTGTACTTTACTACCCAAGGTGTCACTTATATCCTGTTACCATGCCTTCTAGAAAATGGCCGAGCGGCTAAACGCTGGCTGCAGATCGGAAGGTTATGGGTTTGCTTCCTGGCGGAGCCAGACTTTTTTCAAAAATGAATTTGGCTCCCAGGTGGACCCAGCCTTGAGTGGGTACCAGGTGCAGCCCCGGGAAAGTAAAGGCGACCGGCGTGATGCTGACCATATCACCCATTTTGTGCCGATTGGTCTATAAAAATATAGGCCTAGCCCTATACGCCTAAAGGCCTGGAAAAGCATCCTTTACTTTTTTTTAACCATGCCATCTGCTGTTATTCTTTCCAGTTTTCTGTAGTGCTTGATGTGGCCAAAATATTTCAGTTTCTGAGACAAGATGCTATTTACTAGCCAGTCATCTTTAATATTCAGATCTTTTTGGATGTCAGTATTTTTCTTGATCTGTGGTATTTTGAGAATCTTTCTATAGCATTTCAGCTTAAAAATTGTATTGTATGCATCTTTAGGATTCAGAATTTTTGCACAGCACACTGCTATTATATACAAAAATGTTTTTATGTTATTTGTTACATGTGTGTACCTTTTTTAATTGAGCATAAATTAGCTTGGGTAGCTCTGATAGTGCAGTAGCTATCACAGTTGCCTGCCTGCCAGCCAGGTCATAGGTAGGAGTCCCCACCTCGGGGTAAGGACCCATTTCACACTTTCAGCTCATCGGGCATATCATGCTAGACCAGTGGTTCTCAATCTGCCGGTCATGGCCTTTTTTCTGGGTCGATTGACCCTTTCACAGGGGTCGCCTAAGACCATCGAAAAACATATATTCATTGAAGCTATGAAGGACAATAATTGTTTGGGGATCGCCACAACATAAGGGCACTTTATTGAAGGGTTGCAGCTTTAGGAAGGTTGAGAGCCACTGTGCTAGGTTCTATTTGTGTAAACCAACTGGCACTCTCATGTGGTCGGGATCGCAACATCACCATTACTTCATAGAACATCTGATACCCATTTTAGAATGGGTTGACCTGGGAGCAGAGGTCACCTGAAAAAAAAAAAAAAACTACCTTGATTTGGATTTGAACCCTAGACCTTCAGCTGACAGGAAAATATCTAGCAGCTGTGCTGCCAAAATCCCCCCCCCCCCCAAACCACCATAATTGAGGTGTAGATATTAAAAATCATTCTTAAATTCCAAGTCTGTTAAGTCTAAAATGGATACAAAGACATTTTTTTAGGAAGTAAAATCAGTGAGCATGATATTTCAGATACTGATACCATTACCCATCTAGTGTCAGTTCTTCTTTAAAAAATTATAGTCATGGCATATGCTTGCTCAAAGCATGGAAACAGATCCTTTATTTTCTTGTCTTTCAGTGTGAAATCTTCCAAGAACAAGGCTATTCAACTTAGTTTACTCAGGGGCCACAATTTTGATAAGGGGGGGGGGGAAGGGGGTTTGACACAAGCCAGAGGCCCGAGCCCCAGCACAGAAAGATCATTAATACAATAGAGCTGGTGACGATCCGCGGGCCACTTGCTAGGCCTCTCAAATGTGCCCCACGGGGTGCAAGTTAAAAAGCCTTGCTTTAGAACATGTCACTGCATTCTAAATTTACTATTTACATGTACACTACTGGCTACATGGATTTTTATCATGGTATGGGGCGCCACAGGTCGACCCAGCCTAAAATGGGTACCAGAATGGCTGTTCTCAGGAAGTAAAGACGGCTGGCATAATGCTGACCACATTGCCCACTTATTGCAGATTGGTCTGTAAAAAAATATGGGATGCTCTTCCCATATGCCCGATGCGCCTAAGGTGGGAAAAGGGATCTTAACCTTACTTTCTTACACTTATTGTTAGCAAGTTAACCTGGCTGTTTTCTTTGTGTTTACATTGTCATTTTGTACATCCTGGTTTGTTCAATAGCATGGCAAGGTGGACAAAGTGAGAGCTTTACTGGCTGGAGGAGCAGATCCAGGAGTACAGAACAAGGAGGGACTGCTGCCATTGGACTTGGCTACAGATCAGATCAGAACTGTTTACAATGAAGAGCTTCTGAAGGCAACTGCTCAGTCAAAGTATGAAATTTTAAATCTGTAAAACTGTTTTACTCATTCTTTTTTTGTGTGGATAATTCTAAGCTTTCTTTACTGCCAGTGACCATTCCACCTACTGTAGTAGATCCAGGCTTCTTCTTCTTCTTTCATTCACCCGCTGTAAACTCTGGTGGAAAGTTCTGGTTGTTCATCCACTTCTGGACTGCAGTCCTGCTCCAGAACCTGGGTGTTGCGTGTGCATTGGTTTGACAGATCTGACACATTTATGTGCAGACTGTTGGTTCCATGCCTCCCAGGCAGATGCACTCTGACTTAAAAGGAAGCTCCCAATTAGTCGACTCTTTTGGCACATTTTTTTTGTGGGCAGTTGGTCTATTCCAAATAGCTATTAGTCTGCTGCACTTTATTTCATCTGTCAGTTACTGGGACCTATAATGGAATTCCATTAGATGATTTCAAGAAGGGTGAAGAAATAAGAAATGTCTGGACACCCATTTATACCAACGGTTATGAGACAAAGAAAAATTGTGCTGTATTGGGCACATCCTTAGAAGAAGAGTGCAGAGGATCACCAAACAGGCAATCAAAGAATAGGGCAGAAGATCACCAAACAGGCAATCAAAGAAGAGGGCAGAGGATCACCAAACAGGCTATCAAAGAAGAGGGCAGAGGATCACCAAACAGGCATTCAAAGAAGAGGGCAGAGGATCACCAAACAGACAATCAAAGAAGAGGGCAGAGGATCACCAAACAGACAATCAAAGAAGAGGGCTGAGGATCACCAAACAGGCAATCAGATTGAAAAAAAGATTAATTAAGGGAACAAAGACTTCCTAGAGAAACCCTAAAAGAGACACTGATGAGAGAGGCCAAAGGTGCTAGATTCCATCCATGACATTGAAAGGATTGCACCTGATAGAACAGAAAGGAATGAATAGATTGCATGCTTTATGACGTATACTGGCTCAGCAGGATGGTGGTAATTGGAGCAAGTACCGTAATCTGTCCAAATAATGAATGAAATGGTTTGGCCATCTAGTGAAAATGCAGCCTGGCCAAACTGCAAATAAAACTTTTTACAGCAAAACATCTGGGAGGAAGACCAAGAAAGAGATGGGAAACTGGTGTAGCCAAAACCTGCAAAAAGTTGAGCCAAGCCACCAGAGAAGTGCAAGATAAATACAGAAAACTACGACACTGAGCTATAACTTGGCATCAGTGAGAGGACAAAAGAATAAAGAATCTATCAGTCATATCGTTGGAAGTGATGGCTAATGCAGGTTACTAATAAACGTCATCACATGATGCAGGAAACATTTACATTCATCGTTTGCCATCACATATTATCACTGATCTCAGATCAGGTCTCTGTTCCTTGCTTTGATTCTGCTGTGTGATCAAATAGCCTGGGTATTTATCTTTTTGTCTTCCATTTGCTCTTTTCTCGTCAGGTTTGCCAGTTGTCACAAAGTTTTTAAATTATTTCTTCTCATTTAATTAATCCACTGAACTGTGACTAAGAAGTGTAACGAACAGACAAATCGGACATTTCGGCCCGAGCCTTTTTAGGCGAAAACTACAAGGGGGACTGTATCGTAGACTACTGTCTCCCTTGTCTTTATTGTTTTTTGCTGTGAAAGGCTCTGGCTGAAACATCTGATTTTTCTTGTGTATGTTCTTTGTTCCCTTGTTGAGATTCTTAGTGACAGTTCAATGGATTGATTTCTTACTATTAGCTTGACAGCAGTCACTTCTGTTTCTCCTCATTTATATGCCCAAAGGAGCAGATGGATCACAACAGTTTGGTGAGATTGATGAAGAGGGGAGTGATTAGAGGTTCTGGCAAATGCCTCGAAGCTCAGAGGCAAGGCAAGACGAATGTTTAATCAGAATGCCACTGGCACCATTAGTATCGGAACTCTTCATTGGCTGCTGAAGATGGAGACGGAGTGCTTATGGGAATGCCCTGAATGCTGTGATGTCGGTTCTTGAATCAACTCAACTCATAAATGCCCAGAGCATCATGACTGTCTACATCTAATTTATCTGACCAGTTTACTTTTCATCTGTTTCTTCAAAACTGCCTTAATCGTGTTTTAGTCCATCCTTGGTACCTTTGCATTGTTCTAAGAAAAACACATTGCTGCTACCATCAAATGTTTCTCAACTTGTCTGCTTATGGTCTGTGTTTCACGTGCATACAAAAGTACAGGTTTTATATAGCCACTTCTGACTCTTTTTTCGTCACCCATCACCGATTAAGTAATTTCTCTTCTTTTGTCCTACTGTTTATGCCATAAAGCATTGACGAGAGGAGTTATATGTAGTTTTATTTCTTTTACTAGTTGTGTAGCTTGTGTTGTCATAATGTGATACTCCCTGCATCCCTTTCTTGATCGGCCTCCTGCCTTGTAACCTGCTGTTCTCAGGTAGTGCGCTTTCCCTGCTGGCTGATTTTGTTCCATTTTGACCAGATAATTAAACTATTTGATTCTTTGATGTTCTTTGAAATTATTCAGCCGTACTGTGCCTACCACTGTTTTAGTTCTTCATTGGTGACTCTGTACTTATTTTTCCTGCCACATTTCTTATATATCTCATCTTACATTTTGTAATTTTGCATGTCTGTTTTTTTTAAATTATTGTCTATGTTTGGGATTGCTAGCACTAAGTTGGTACGAATAGCATATTTATCAGCTGCTGTTTTGTGTTATTTTATCCTTTCTTCCTACAATCTGATAGTCCCATGATCTTATATTGTCATAGTTGAGGTTTCAACAGCACTGCAATTGGGTTTCCCCACACTTGCTCCGTTCATGTGCCAGTGCAAATCAAATGAAATGGCCCTCACTATTGCAGTTGATAAACTGGTGAACAAACAAGTAGTCCCGGGACCATCCAGAAATATGCACACGCAGTAAATGCGTATTCCAGTTGCTGGAGGCGCTAAAGCCAACAATCGCCACCAGAAATATAGTTTGTCGTTGATGGAAGTAGTCGGGCATGATAACTTGGTTACTATACACACGTAGAATTATTACATAAGGTATTCACAAGCTCACATGTAAACAGGCTACTGGCCATATTGATTAGCAAGACACAACCTCTGCACAAATGAAAGGCATTCCACCGTAAAACACAGCTCACAGGGCTGCAACCAAGCACTAAATTCAGTAGCTCAGGCAGCAAAACCGTAGACTACCATCCTTATGTGGAAACTGCATTAGCAAAGCGCTGTCGGAAGCAAAAATATCTTAGAAGCTAAACATTCTGCCAAGCCTTTCCTCCATTTTGGCCAGAAGTCTGATCTTATATTGTTTTCCCCCATGAAATTCACAATTTCTACTACTTTTTGTCCTAAACCGCAAATGTTTAGTATGGTTATTTCTTCTTCTTCTTCGCGTTCACCAACTGTACACTCTGGCGGAAAGTTCTGGTTGCTCGTCCACTACTGAACTGCAGTCCTGCTCCAGAACCTGAGTGTTGCGTGTGCATCAGTTTTACAGATCTCATTCTCTTGAATACAGACTGTTGGTTCCTTGCCTCTCTGGCAGATGTACTCTGACTTCAAAGGAAGCTACCCAATTAGTCAACTCTTACAACATGCTTTTGGGGAGGCAGTGGGTCTATTCTTGTTTTACCCACAATGGGGCCCCGGAACCCACACGGGCGGGGGGAGTGTTATGGTTATTTAAAGTGTCGGGCTAGATTGTGTGCCCTGGGTGGTACTACTTCAGTTTGATGGTTTTCTCCTTTTCTTGTATTGAGCATATACGTTTTAACAAATAAATCCTCTAGTGGCTTCCTGGGGTGTCCTAGAATCATTTCTGACTGCACAGTAACACTGTCTTGATAAATTGGCTATAAAAATATGGGACTAGCACTAAATTCCTGATATGTCTCAAGATGTGTACTTTACTTAAGACATACTAGTGTATATATATATACATATACATACATACACACACATATATATTTATATATATGAGATCTACCATGGTGTAGTGGCTAGCTGCTTGCCTGCTGATCTAAAGGTTGTAGGCTAAAATCCAATTGGAGCCTGACTTTTTAAAAATGACCTTGGCTCCCAGATCATCCCAGCGTTTAAGGGGTACCAGATAAAGTCCTGGGAAGTTAAGGTGATCAGCATGATGCTAACCACATCACCCACTGTAGATAAATTGATCTGTAAAATGTAGGTCTGGCACTGTATACTCAGTAAGCTTAAAGTTGCAGAAAAGGGTTCTATATATATGTAGAGGGAGAGGGGTAGATATATAGACAAATAGATAGATGGATAGATAGATAGATAGATAGATAGATAGATAGATAGATAGATAGATAGATAGATAGATAGATAGATAGATAGATAGATAGAGAGACAGATAGATAGATAGAGAGACAGATAGAGAGACAGACAGATAGACAGACAGACAGATAGATAAATAAAATTGTATGCATGCATAACATTTCAATACATTTTACAGTTTAGGCCGTGTTTGTCAGCTGTTGGCGGCTGGAGTCAGCATCAAGTTGACAGACAGCCCAGAGATGTTGAACACTCCATTACACTGGGCTGTTTGCCATGGAAACAGAGATATGGTTCAGTGTTTATGTGGTGAGGGTTCTTTTGTCATTTATTGAGTTCTTTTGTCTTGTATCCTTACACAGCAGCCTTGTTAGTCATTTATATTTGTTTTAAAAGGATGTCTAGAAATTCTTACTGTGAATGATTGTGTATTACCTATGTTAAAGGATGAAGCACCATGGCTAGACAATTTCATGACAGCCTGAAGATCTTCATGGCTAGACAATTGCATGACAGCCTAAAGATCTTAAGTTCAAATCTGCATCGATGCACATTTTTATAATTAACCCAGCCTTATATGAAAGACAGGAACTGTCCCTAGAATTAACGGCAGCCGGCATAGCGTTGAACGAATTATCCCTTAAGTGCTGATTCATCATCATCATCGTGTAGCAGGTCCTTTGCATAACGTCGCTTTCATCACAGTCTGCCTGAAAGAAACTCAGTCTCTCGCCAGCTTGCCCTGCATAGTGCACTTTCATATTCAAGGAGTTTCTTATATCCTGTGCCCATCTTCATATTGGTTGGCCTTTGCCTCTCCTTCCTGGTACCATGCCTTCAGCATTGGCTCTTGATATGACTACACATATTTCAGTTTCTCTGACAAAATGCTGTTTATTAGCCATTTTTCCTTGATGTTCAGATCTTTTAAAATGTAAATGCTGATAGAAAAAGGGGTCCAGCACCATATGCCCAATGTGCTAATGAATCTTTTTCTTTGCAATGGGTTTCATATGCTCAGGTTGACAGTTGTATTATCTCCATGAAACGTTACAACAGCAACAAGTCTCCAGAGGTTTCCCAAAGTTTTTCCTGGATGCCTCTTCCCTCTGGCCATGTGTCTTCTCTCATGTTTTGATTTTGGGTGCAATTCTGCAGTATGTGCTCTGGATGTTAATGAGTTGAAACGAGTCCTTTATTTTACTTTCCAACTCTAAAAGCAAGAAAAGTTTTGACTGCATTTTATGCACATTTAATAAATCTGTTCTGACTGACCTTCCATTTTAAATTTTTTTCATTGCTTTAATAAATATCTTTGTTATCTGTATAGTATTTAAAGTATGTATTGTGTCATTAAAAAATATTGTAATACCATCATTTCTCATATCTTGAAGGGTTTATCTGTGATTTAAAACAAAAACATTATGTTAAAAAATTTTGTTGCTTTTTCATTAACTGCTGCTATTGTTTTCACCCTTAAAATGGTATTGGCACATTGCGTTGTAGTTTACAACTAGGCTGTGATATCTGCACCTTTCAGCCTAACATGTTTAATTTAAGCAACTCCTAATCAGTTGCTTTTTCAGAAATTCTTGCTAGGGGGCAGTAGGTTCCCCCATCCCTTCAATGGGGCTCTGGAACTCGCATAGGGAAACAGTGTTTCATTTCTATTTATTTTAACACCTGCTTTTTCCATAATTGATATACATATTTTATGTTTGTGTTTTTTGTATAAAGGATTCCTAGTATAGTTATAAGTATTTATTTATATGTTTTCTTAAATACCTTTCTTTCGTTTGCCTCGTTCCAGGTAGGCAGTTTGCCTGTCTGACTTGTTTCGCTGTTACCATTAAACACAGACATTTCTGTCCAGCCCGTAGCACAATGTTTTGTCTTGACTTGTTTTATAGGATTCTTGAAACTGAATCTTTCTAGCTGTATCTAGCTCTGCCTTTATAACCATATCTATTACTGTTGCAGGCCTGTGGTGGATTTTGACATTCACAGTGGTTATCTCAACCAGTTTTCTGCTGTTAAATCGAGTCATGTGAATGAGCACTGGCATATTTCAGAATCATATATGGAATGTAGTCTGGCACCTGTGGCCTTTCATCGACATTAGGCATAGAGATTCTCTTGGATGTCTTCACTTCCTCCATTTGTTTTCCATTGTAGTGCCGATTTTGTGATTCTTTGCCTTGTCTCAGAATGTGCACATATACGGCCATCCTATTTTTCTTATAACTGTTGATATCAACAATTATCTAGTTATTTCTCAAACTGTTTTGCCTTTCTTGAATTCATCCCCTTTAATGTTGCCTTTAATGAAACATGCTTTTGTGATATCCTGTTTCTTGTCTCAATATTTATATGATTTCTTTGACTTTTTTTTTTTTTTTTTGAAGTCATCAAATTTAATTCTCATTTACTGAAACACACTGAATTGAAATCTTATCTCACAACTGTCTACGTCTGTCTTGTCCCATGGAAAAATGATTTTTACGCAGATCTTCATTCCAGCCCGTGGAGCCGACTTGAATGTGTACAATGCAAGAGGTCTGACTCCACTTCATGAGGCCGTTAAGAGAGGCGACGCAGGCATTGTAGAAGAACTCCTTAATTATGGGGCTAACATTGACCTTCAAGTTACCACAGGGTATGGCCATATTTTATAATGCCGTTAAATCTCATTGTATATCTTTATCATTTTAAAAGATTTGAACATCCAGGAAGATTGGCTTACAAACAGCATCTGAAATATTTTGGTCATATCAGGCGCTTTGGCAGATTAGAAAAAAAAAATAGCAGAAGGCATGGTACCAAGAAGGACGGGCAGGGGTCGACCAATACGAAGATAGGCACAGGATATCAGAGTACATGAAGTGGAGAGTTGGCGAGAGACCTAGTTTCTATCGGGCAGACTGTGATGAGAGCAACGTTCTGCAAAGGACCTGTTACATGACGATGATGATATCTTTATTCTTAAAATCAGGTGAATGGTGAATGTTGGGACCCATTTAAGATGCAAAAGGCCGGGAATGAAGAGTGAGAAGCAACAGCGAAGTTCATAGTCTGTTTAAATCACCACTTAATACTGGCATCCTGAGGGCTTATAGACTGCAGTGGTTGGGGCTTGTTGCATGCATATCCTTTTTACATATCTGACTTATTTTTATACAGACTGTTGGTTCCTTGCCTCTAAGGTAGATGCACTACAACTTTGAAGGAAACCCCCATTTAGTAGACTCTTACGACATGCTGTTGGGGAGGCAATGGGTCTATTCTTGTTTTCCCCAAAACCCACAGGGAAAAGGCTGGAAATGTAATGATCTTCTATGTGCTCTTTCTAGTGTTTTGTTCTTGGTCTTCATTTCCTTAAGGCTGTTGTTGATGCCATCTTTCCATCTTCTTCTTGGTTTACCCCTTGCCCCTAAGCTTTTCTTACGCATGAGCACCATGTAGACAGTCAGTTCTTCTACAGATTTGTCAGACCTGTCATAGGTTCATCCATAACATTATTGCCTGATTGTTGTATTATTACTTGAGCCCACTAACCACTCTGCTACCATGAATTTCTATTCTTCTGATATAAGACAGGAGGTTAGATTAAATAACATGAGTAAGAATGTGTGTACGAGGAAATGTGGATTGGCAAGAAAGGAAGAGAACGACAAGTTCATAATCAGTGTGCTATGGGAATGGTTAGCATCTGCAGCTTAAGACATTTCCTGTGGGAGAGGAGGCACCTGTGTGTGTGCTGTGGTGTCGATTCTTAATTTGGTAATCTGATGATACACATGCTCTAATATGTTTTGTTTTTTTTGCAGAGAAAATGTGGGACAGACAGCTATGGATCTAGCTGAAGGACATGAGTCACTGTTACAAGTCTTGCGGGCTCCTAGACATCTTCTGGAGCCTGTCAGCAAAATCACCCATGACTTTGGTAAAAACATTCTTCGTCTTCTTCTTCAGCATTATGAGCCCTTGAGGTTCATTGCTGCAGATATCACCCGCCTCCATTCATCTCTCTGGTTGGCCTTCTCTTTCCAGTTGGTGACGCCGAGTGTTTGCAAGTCTGCCTGGACATTATCTCTCCATCGTCTTCTTGGTCTGCCTTGTGGTCTACGACCATTCGTCTCCCTTGTGTATATAGTTTTTACTTCTCTGTTATCTGACATTCTTTCAATATTCCCCAACCATTTCAGTCTATTAGTTATTTCAGTCTATATTAGCTGATGCCAGGGATCAAAGGTGATTTAAACAGATTATGAATTTCATTCTTGCTTCTCACTCTCCATTCCCCGCTGTTTGCATCTTTGATGGGTCCAAAGTAATAACATTGGTCTTTCATAAACTTTTCCATTACTGTATCATAAGCTAACATAAAATGTGATCACAGATGTAAACAAGAATTATCAGTTATGGGAAACATGATCTTTGGCATTGACTTTATGAAATGATGTTAACTTCATAGCTGGTTCTAACATGTACCTCATAACTGCCCATAATGTGACATATCACAGCAAACTATTTGGTCTCGAAAAACATCACTGAAAACTAAACTTCATGAATGATCGAGTGAACAAAAGAGAAAAAGCACAATTCCCACAAAAGGTAATATTAGAAATACAGTGATACCACTACGAATGAGTGATCTGGCTAACGAAAATATTTATCCCTGGTATTTGGCCTTGGATAAAAAATTGTATTCAGTAAATAAACATTTTAGTAGATGCCATGCTAAAACAACATGGTGGCATTGAAGAAAAGAAAATATTTGTTCCTATCCCATGAAGTTGAAAGAATTCAAAAGGTAACTGTGTACACGGACAAACACAATTCTACATTATCTGTGCCTAGTCATGGTAGTCAAATGTGTATGCTCCCTGGGTACTATGAATATTGCTGTTAGCAGCAAAATAACAAACTTAAAACAACTGAGATAAGACTCCTGAGAAGAAGTACTAGACATATCAAGGGGAGAGCAGATCATAAATGATGAAATCAGAAAGAAAATAGGGATAGTGACAGCGCTGGATTTAATCAGAAAAATAATCGGACAAATTGTTTGACCATCTAGCTGCCAACATATATCATACTTCAACAAGGAGTGATGTGTAGATCAAATAACAATCGAAAGACTGACTATGTAAACCAAGGGTGTTTAACTGGTGGCCCATGGGCCAGATATGGCTCATGAAGGTCTAGCAAGTGGGCCACAAATCATTGCCAGCTGTATTGTATTATTGATGGTTCTATGCTCAGGCCTCTGGCCAGTGACGATCCCCATTTTCAACATTTCAGCCTCTGAGTAAACTTTGTGGAATAGCCCTGGTGTAAATGTTGGACACTTCTTCCGGTTCACCAGCTGTAAACTCTGGCAGAAAGTTCTGGTTGTCCATCCACTTTAGGACTGCAGTCCTGTTCCAGAACCTGAGCGTTGCGTGTGCATCCATTTTACGGATCTGACTCATTTGTGTGCAGACTGCTGGTTCCTTGCCTCTCAGGCAGATGCACTTCGACTTCGAAAGAAGCTCCCAATTACTCGACTCTTACGACATGCTTTTGTGTAGGCAGTGGGTCTATTCTTGCTTTCCCCCCTATAATAGGGCCCCGGAACCCACACGGGGAGGGGAATAAGCGAATCTATGGGAAATCCCATATACAGGGCACACAAATAGGCACTCCATCACTGTTAATACTTCACCTCAACAAAGCATATCAGAGGATTGGGATGGGATGACAAGATGGTAGCAAACGGAGAGATATGCAGGCAGTGTCACTTATGCTAAAGGATAAGGACTAGGACAAAGAGCAGTAAAGACATGCGAACACTTCCTTGCAGGAAGACAAAATAGTTGTTGGTTAATGTGCAGTCAGAAAATGATGACAAAATAAACATTGAGAGTTGGTAGAAAGAGAGTTCTTAAAAACTGTATGGAATGATTCCTGATATATGGAGATTAATCACAGACAAACAGCCAGTTTGTGAAATAATATGTGGAAAATGCAGAGATGTCTTTTGAAAAAAAAAAATTTGCAAGAAAATCATGGTAGTTGACTCATACAGAAAACTGTTTTAATGTATCAGAAAATGACAGTCCACATTCTTTGGTGACATCATGAAAAGGGGAAACATGGAGCACTTTGTGATAATAGGAAAAATTGAAAGATATCCAAATGGAACATTTTTTGGAGGATTTGGTATGGAGGAACGTCATTACCAGACATAATTGACAGTGTATGTGACAGAAATTTTGGAAGAAAATTAAACATTAAACATACTCTGTCTGAATAAAACGAAATGGAAAAATAAGTAACTCTCTGGGACTGTTTGAAAGTAACACTCTTGGCTAAAAAACAAAATACAACAGTTAACTCTTTCAGTACCATGCTGGTCACCGTACATTTATTGATGCTTGTATACATCCTTTACATTAACTGACTTTTCTGCTGGATTCTCTTTTACATTTACAGCTGCTGCGGTGATTACCTCAACTCAGTGGTTTTCAACCTTTTTTAAGTGATGCCACCCATTCACCTTTTCCCTCTCAACCTTAACCAAAATGATATTAAAAAGATGAGAGGGAAACATCCTAAGCTCAGTTAGCAAGAACTTGGAGAAATACATCCACATAAATCAAGGTGTTAAATAAAATGAAAGAAACAGTCCCCAACAACTGGTAGTTCTGTGTCCAAATGTCAGTGTGATGGTTGTCACATTTTGTCTCGATGACGTCTGTAGTTTTTGGTCTTTTGTTAGACAAGGCACAATGGAGGTCACTCTGCACATCAAGTTTGCAGTGCTGTTTTGTGCGCCCCCCCCCCCCACCCCTCTGAAACTAATGTGCACCTCCCAGTATGAAAACCCAGTTCCCTAATTGTTCATGCTCTATATCCTAGTTTTATTTCATAGAGACTCAGAGACTGTACATGTACCCTTAGTTAGAACTGTTAAATAAAAAAAATTGAATGAATTACATTAAGAGACATGATGCGTTCCTTGATAACGAAAGAGTTTTTTTTTAAAAAGTTAATAACTAAGACAGACTGGATGATATGTCAGGGAGGGACAGAAGTAGTAAAGACATCAGAAAATATTTTGGTCTGTATTTGATTTGTTTTTGTTTTATTTCCACTACTTTACAACAGGACCCTAAAGTCAGATTTGAAACCTCCAGCCCTGTTCCAGAAATCGCTGATGAAAAACTGTTGCTAATGTGGCCAGCAGTTCAGAGTGTCAAGTTAGGCAGCGACAAGCCGTTTGTCCTCAGCAATGTTCTGCCTGTCTTTTTAACACCAGCACATCATGGAGGTATAGTAACTTTCTGGTGTCAAATATATTGAGGGGAAAATGGTTAAAGTCCTGTCTAGAAGCTGTATTGTTGTATGCATTTGAAACAAGGACAGTAAGTGAGCACGCTGAAAAATATATAACTTCATCGAAAATGTGGTTTCTGATAAAAAATATCCAGAATGTCATGGGCTGACGGAAAAATAAATGAGGCTGTACTGAAAGAGAGAAATGCCAGTCTGGGTTCTGGGGTCTCATTTAGGTGGAAAGGGGGAGGGATGGGGAGAATAAACCCACTGCCTCTTTAACAAGTGTGTTGTTCAGGGCAACTAACTAGGGAAGAATCATGTTGTACAAGGTGAATAATTAGGAAAGAAACAAGAAACGAACAAACTTTATTTTCTAATTGGCTTAGCATTGCACACCACCAAGAGCCCTGAAATGGACCCCTGCAGTTTGATGCGATCAAAGGAGACAAGAGTCAAATACTGTACCAACCCGTAATAAAGTCATCTACCGGCGAGCCAGTGGGTGACCCAGTCGCCGATGATGGACATATGGTGCCAGAACCATATTTGTTATAGACTAATAAGCACTTAATAGATCATATGATCAGCATTTAAAACATGGTTGAAGTAAAATTTCCTTTTTTTTTTCCAGCCTCAGCTTCAGAAGTTGCCTTCTTGTGGAATTTGAGAAGACAGGCATTTGAAGACCTGGATCTGGAGTTGTCACTGTACTTGCTCAGCCCCCTGTCTTTGTTTGAATCCCCTCACATTATTTGCCTTGTCAACAAACATCTGGTGACACATCAGGGATCCTACAAGATTACTGTCACCTCAGAGCAGGCAAGTAAAAAAAAAAAAGAAGTGTATTTCACTGTCTCTGTAAGGGAGTCACAGTGATGTAGTGACTAAAAGCTCACCTGCCAGCTTGAGATTAAAAGTTCCTATTGAATGGATTAAAAAAAAACATATTTGCCTTTACCTTCCGTGAGCATTGTTGCGCACATACAAAATCGCTTGGCAGTTGGAAATAAAAAATATTAGCCTTATGTCGCTGCCTGGGCAAAATTTGGAGTTAAAAATCTACCCAAAGTATTTCAGGATTCTCGACGGTGCTACAGAGCCTGTGCACTGTTCTGAGCCTCTTCGGACTCAGACTTGAGTTAGAAGAAGTACAGAGCACTTATGGGTTACTACCCATGTGCGGTAATGTTTATCTGTTGTTCAAACCTCAAACATTCCAGGTGGTCCCGTGCTAAAATGGGTACCAGGTAATGTTCTGGAAAGTAAAAGTGACCAGGGAAATGTTGACCATATCATCCATCCAGTGCCGATGATCCCGAGACCTCCAAAGCGATGCTTGCCACTATTCATGGAGTTTACTGGTCTCCACCTATCTCAGTTGGTTACAATTATAACATGTATATGCAGCTAATTCTAAAGCCAGCGAAAGACTGCAGTGACTGCCTCCACCTCCATTCTCAAACTAGATGTTGTGATGTCATATGCCCGGCTTTGTTACACTAAGCAACGTTCGAAAATGAAAATAATCAAATGCCATATATACCCAACCCAGCTGTATGGTGCAGAAACCTCAACAAGGAACAAGCAGTACAAAAAAAATGTCTGGAAGCGCTGACACACAGAACAGGTCGTATTTCATAGAAACAAAAACAGTCAAGTACAGATTTCCAGGAAAGACCGCAAACAAAAAACAAGCCACTGAAAGAAACACACTCACAAATACACAGTTGATACCATAAGACACAACATTTCCTTGAAAACCACACCAAAGGGTGGTCAGGGCCAAAAGAAAGAGACAAAGACACAGTTGGGAGGACAACATCAAGAGGTGAATGAACAGCAGCCCGAGAGAGAGCACAACCAAGACAAGAGACAGGGTACACCAGAGATCTGTTGCATCCAATATTCACTGCGGAGACAACACTTGATTGACTGTTTGATCGTATGTCACCACAGAAGACATCCGAGTTCAGTATCTTCTGGTCTTTGTATTGGTATAAAATATCTAAACAGTTGTATTGAAGGTTGTTGATACTGTCTATGGTTGTTCTTGTGCTTTTAGTTGCTTCTTTGTCTGATGATCTGTCTCATTGCATTAGGAATTTCACTGCTGTGAAAAGGTAAAAAAAAAAAAAAAACCATCAGAATGTACCAAACGTTTAATTTAAAAAAAAAAAATTAAATTGAAAACTGTTTGAACGTCATAGCAAATGCACGCGTGCACACACACACATGGACACACAACTGGCTTACTTTATATTTGATCAGAATTGAAATTCTTTATACAGCACATCTGAGCTAACATTCATATCTTTATGCTTATATTGGAAACTTAAACAGCAATTTAAAGAGAGAGAAACAATTATAAACGTGTTAACAGAATGTCACTTAAGACTTAGAAATAAAACTGAATCAGTAAAGCTTGTGTGTTATATAAACTGGAACGTTAACATTTTCTCCAAATCATTTAACCTTTCTGAGCAGGGATAGTCGTGGCAGTGTAGCTGCAAAATGCTCATTCGCTGGCCCGAAGGTCTGGGGACCAAATCTGTATGAAGATTTCTTGGCTTCAACGGAACTGTGATGAAATATATGAGAGAGAACTATTTGCCAGTTATCTGGACAGACATTCCTACACTGTCATTTTGTTATTTGAAACTGAAACATAAGCGCATTTGACCTATCACACCACATAGTACATTTGCATTAACAATGCATGATTCAATAAACTCACAATCACTTTTTAAAATAAAAAGCTAATCACAGTGATGAAATTTAAAATATTGATGCAATATTCTAAAGCATATCAAAACATCGGTACTAAAATTACAGTTTTGCTCGGCAAGAGTTATAAAGTAAGAAAATTGGACGAAAATACCAACTTCGTCAACCCCATGTGCAGGTCATGATGATAGATAACTACCACATGGTAACCTGAAATTATCTCAAGGAATCTCCAAGAATAGAGATAACGCACACAGAGGGTACCATCAGGCTGTTCAAGGGTGGAACAATAATAGTTACAAGTAAAAAATTCCATTCTTGCTTTAGCCTTCAACAGTCCACTTTGAAGAAGCCCACCACCCAGAGGAGTGGCAGCAGTAAATCTGTCAGCCTACTGATAAATAAAGTCAGGTAAAGGACCCTTTTCACACCTTTGATGTATCAGGCATATATTGGGCGGTGCTGTTCACGTTTCCAACCCCCCGGATTAGAGTAACTTCCTTTGACATTCATGCCTCCTTAGATTGCTGGACCTCTCCTATCTTGTGGGGGAGTCATTTTTTCCTTATTGTGAACGGTTTAACCCTTGCATCTTTTCTTGCCTTTTCACCGCTCGCTTGCAAGATTATTTTTACGTTCTGCTACCTGTGCGACGGTTTGGGAGTATGAAAACAGCGATATTTTTCTATTCCTACACTCCTTGTAACTGCTTTCTTTCTCTGGGGGAGAAGCCACTGCCAGCGAATATAGAAATACAAAAACATCCCAGTTTTTATAGACAAGAATCGTCTTGCCTGCAGTGCTTCCCCCTGCAGTACTTCATACTTGTACACATGCCCTGTGGCGTCTGAAAAAGACTCCCACCTCCCACAAATGTTTTATATACGCCGAGCGAACGCCAAACCAAGCCATATCATAACACCCCGCAACATAGGAGAGGTCTAGCGACTTAAGAAGGCGTGAATGGCAAGGAAAGTTACTCTAATCCTGGGCCTGGAAATGTGAACAGGGCCTATTGGGCTAGACCTATATTTTTATAGTCAGCACTAAAAAAAGTGATGTGGTCAACATCACACCGGCCATTTTAACTTACCTTGGTATTATCTGGTACCTTTTATAACCCAGGTCAACCTGGAAGCCAAACACAGTTTTGAAAAAAACAAATCTGCCTTGATACAGGTTTGATCCCCGGACTTTCAGGCTGGCGAATGAGCATCTTGCAGCTACACTGCCACGATTATCCCTGATAAAGGTTAAATTATTTGGAGAAAACTTTATTTTAAAAAGAACTGCTAAAAATGGTAAAACAAAGATTCAGAATAACTTGTATTTCCTAAGCAGGGATACAGAGAATAATACCTAAATGTGATGTATGATTTTTTTCTGCACATCTGTAATTTATATTCATATTTACTGTATTTTTAAACAATTATTGTGAGCACAGTGATTTATTTATTTGTTTATTTTGTTTACAGGTGAAGATCATATGTGGCGACAATGAAAGTTTGAACAATGCTATATCAACTGTCTTACAGTTGTTATCGCTTTACAGAACTGAGGATACCATCTCCATTCCTTCATTACTGGTTGGTATTCTGAAACTGATTATGTGTACTGGACAATATTGTGAACTGATTATTAATCGATTAGCACCTTTCCGTCTTTTCAGACGATAGTGTTGTATTGAGGTATGAGGAGGCCTGGGACTCACAGCCCATGGAGATGGCGAGTGTGACTAGCAAGACCAGCCCACATTAAGAAAAGTATTCCACTATTATAGCATGGGATTTCAGGACGATTGTTGTCAACATTTGCGTTCAGTCTGTTTCTTCTCAGATGCTCAGCTCTCATCCTTTCTGAAATCATTTCTTCCTGCATTCTCAATCCCTTCTTGATGTGCCCCCTCCACACATGGTTCGTGGAATTTTGTTCCCACGAGTCCACCTCAAAACCTGTATCATTCATGTCCCACTTGCACAAATCTTAAAATCCTAGTAGAGGTCGGCCTCAACATCTTCTATTCGTCTTTAGTTCACCAAAGAAGCAACTGATTATACAAGTTAGGCACAGACAGTTGGTGTTTTTGGGCCCGTTATGGGAAGGAATGGACTCAAGAACTTGGTAACAATTGGCAAGATTAATGGAAAGAGAGGAAGGGAAAAGCTAAGAGTTAATACCTGGATGGTTTAGCTATAGGGATTAGGCAAGACAAGAACACAGACCTGTTCCTGATTCTGGTGATCATATGGGGGGAGGGGGTGAAACTTGACAGCCCACGCTTATCAGGACACATAAAATTAATCAGGATCAGCTGTCTGTGCTAAGGAGTGCTTCTTAAAAATCTGTGAAGTTTATTTCAGGAAAAATCTTGTTTGTGCACGCTGGTTGGAAAAATCAGTTTGGAAAAGAAAAATAAAGTTACGAATGATACGATACCAGAATAAGAAACTCGTGTCCTCATCTTAGACAGAAGATGTGAGTTTACAGTACTGCAAATTTAAAGTTATAAAATTTAATTTATCATTCGTTTAGATAATGTATATCAAGATGTGTTAACAGAAAGAATTATTATTTCAGACAGTTCTACGTGGACCAGTGGCACGATGTTCTCTTTGTAAAAGCTAACACTAAAATCAGATATATGGCTGAAATATTAAATTGGAGATGGAAAAGGAAGAACACCTCTCTCCCCACAAGCATTTCACAGAACTAGTACCATTATTGGTTAACTATAAAAAAAGCTTTACAAATACAAAATTAATCTTATAGTTATTTAAATATCTTACATCTACACTTCGTCCCAATAGAATTATCACAGGGTGTCTATCATTGATGCTGGCTAAATGAAAAAAGGTAGTAAAAGGAGTCTGAGGGAAGGTAAAGGAAGTATTCATTTTTGAGAAGGAGAAAGAAGCAAATCAGATAGATTGGTATCGAAGAAGATATGACCTACTCTGCTCACAGGAATAGTACAGGCAAGTTACTGCGATCAGCAGAAATAAGGGTTGACGAAATAACCTAATAAATCAAGAATTGACAGCATCGCTGCACTCGTGATATTCCTATACATGCTTGTCCCGTCTTCAGTAGCCAGTTAAGAGTCCCTATACCTATATTTGCCAAAGTCCGCCTGACTCTTCCACATGCATGTTGAAAATTGTCTTGAGCCTGTTCTTTTGCACTGTCCACTTGATTCCAGAAAGCCTTTACCACTTTCACTTAATCAAAGTAGCCTGCTGCCCAAAACAGGTGCAACCAATTTATCCGGCTACTGAGAGCCATTTTGACAGCAAAGTATGGAGCTCCTATGCTTGCTGGGCATTAAGGCTTGATAAATTTTCTTTTTACTATCTGTTATATACCTGTCTGCATCATGTTAGAAGGAGCTTTCTGGAAAAGATTCTTGCAAATATTGTGCAATGTCTTGTTCGTGGTATTCCAAAACCCATCGCTTGCATACTTTGGAAATTAAATGCTGCAGTGGTTTAAAATTATGGAAGGCATAGATCTTGGAAGATGAGGCAAGCATCACCAGCATGTAGGTGGGCACAGGACTGAGACATCTTGGTTGTAAAAATACAATGGAATTATTAACAGACCAAGTGTTTTTCTGATGGCCCATGATGTGATTTCTTTTTTCTCCCCTAAGGACCTGCTTCATGATTTTGATGAAGTAAGTGCATTGATGCTAGTTTTAGTTCATCCACTAATCATGTGTATCTTTCTTTCTTAAATTATTACCTTGTGACTTCATTTTTCCCTGATTATCTTGCTCCATGTCTTAATTGAGCGGCGTCCGTGGCTAAGGCGTTGCGAGTCCGACTCGTAAGCCAGCATACCGCGATCGAAACCCACTGCAGGCTGCGTGGATTTTTATTGTGGTATGGGACGTCACAGGTCGACCCAGCCTAAAATGGGTACCAGGATGGGCTGTCCTGGGAAAGTAAAGACAGCCGGCGTAATGCTGACCACATTACCCACAGAGTGCTGATGGTCTGTAAAAATATGGGACGCTCTGCTTATATGCCCGATGCGCCGAAAGGCGTGAAAAGGGATCTTTAATTTACTTTTTTATGTCTTAATTACTCAGTTCTCTTATACTGAGTGCTGACAGTCTCAGTATTGTGTTTTCTAATTGTCTGATGTTTGTTTTTGCTGTTGACATATAATAGATTGAAGATTGGCCAGATTTGCCACACAGAGGAGTCTTAATGGATGTATCTCAAGGCCGAATTCCAGTAATAGTAAGTTTGGCTTGTTGGGTTTAGTGTTCTGTAGCTTATGAAGTTACTACTGGTAGGATTCTTGCCTTCCTTTTGCTTTTAATAGAGGATCCCCTGTGTGGGTTTTATGGCCCCATTATGGGGAAAACAAGAATAGACCCACTGCCCGCCGAAAACATGTCGTTTGAGTCGACTAATTGGGAGCTTCCTTTAAAGTTAGAGTACATCTGCCTGGACAGGCAGGCAACCAACAGTCTGCATGAAACTGAATGAGACGTGTGAAATGGATGTGCATGCAGCACTCAGTTTCTGGAACAGGACTAGAGTCCAGAAGTGGATGAACAACCAGAACTTTCCGCCTGTGTTTACAGCCGGGGAACACGAAGAAAAAGAATTGGTAGAGGACCCTTTTTCACACTTTCAGGCATTTTGGGAACGTAGCACATGACCTATATTTTATAGACCAATCAGCTCTCAGTGGGTGATGTATTCAGAATCATGACGGCCATCTTTACTTCCCGGGACTTTACTTGTTACCCATTTAAGGTTGGGTCGATCTGGGAGCCAAGATCATTTTTGGAAAAAGTCAGGCTCTGTTCGGATTTGAACCCATGACCTTCAGAGCGACGGCTCCCTTGTTATTGGTGAGGTGTATTCATCCATCTGTCGGGACAATTATCAATCTAGCACATTGTCCCATTGCTTGTGACTGCCAGGGCAGGGGTGTTTAGATAAGGGCTGAGGATATAAAGATGGCTTGCCCAACAAATTGTTTTTGCAGTGTTCGGGCTCAACTCTTTTGGGACCAAAGAAACATCACATGTAGATGTGTGATGTCCTAGTGGGGTAGAAAGTCAATCAGTCAAGCATATGCATGTAACAGTTTTCATAATCTGCATATTTTGACACTTTTTTTTTAAAGTTAAGTGTAAATGATCATCTGTTATTTTTTTCCTCAGTCTTGTCTAGAGGAGTATCTTGACACATTATCACTTCTGAAAGTGAACCGGGTATGTAGAAAAACTTTATTATGTTTTGTAGTATACAGAATATCTTGGAAAAAGAAGAGGAGAAATACTTACATCTTGAAAGATCTGAACATCAAGGAAGATTGGCTAATAAACAGAATCCTGTCTCGGAAGCTGAAATATTTTGGTCATATCAAGCGCCACGACGGATTGGAAACAATTATAGCAGAAGGCATAGTACCAGGAAGGAGGGGCAGAGGCAGACAGACACCAAGATGGGCACAGGATATAAGTGACTCCTTGAGGTCATATGAAAGTACATTAGGCGGGAGAGCTGGCAGGAGACCGAGTTTATTTCAGGCAGACCGTGATGAGAGCAAGTTCTGCAAAGGACCTACTACATGATGATGATGAGAAGTATACAGAAGCAATTTATATCTGTGATATGTTACATTGTAACCCCTTGTGTTCTGACTCCAGTTCTTCTGTCTTTAATCACCAAATGAAGCATATTCCCTGCACCAAATTGCCCAGTTTGTCCTGTTCTGTTTTATCATGTGCAGCTCACCCCTAAGTCCTCCCCATGATTTCCACTTCAGTTTCTATGAGGGCTATTCCAAAATCAACCTCAGATTGGCTGGTAAAAAAAAAAAAAATAGTCTGCCACAGCAACACTGTTCATTGCTTGCATCATTTAGTAGTCGTTTAGCTCACTACACATCAGCCTATAGTTCATGGATTGCGAACAGATAAACATGGAGACTGTTACCTACCATGCATTCCATAAAAGAGTTGACTAAGGAGGCTTGGTGTGAGGTTGGCCACTTCATCCTATATATAGTATTTTTCTATGTATAAGATATGTTTTCTTATTTTTTTTAAAGTCACTTTGCTGACTGTCTTATTCATGGAATATGTTTAAAATATTTGTTTCCTAATTCTGAGCTTAAAGAAATAGGGGTCATTTTGTACACAGAAAATACTGAAAATTTTCAGCTGCAAAATCCAACCAGTCATGAGCAAGTCTACAAAGAGGTTGGTATCAGTTGGCTGGGGATCTGTGCTCCATTAGAAATTGAAAGGTGGAAAACAAAATTGTGTGGAAAGCCTAATCTTATCAAGTTGCAGAATGTCTGGAAAGATACACAGCATAAATGTGATAATGTGGGCATTTACAGAGCAGGCATTGGCTAAAAGAACAAATTTTTCAGTAATCCTGACTTAACTCTTTGAGTCCCAAGGAACGCACTATGCATTCATAGGTTCCTACCTAGAAGCCCAATGAACGCATGATGCGCCAATTTTATTACTTTCCTTACTACCCCCTGGACCTGTGATGCTAAACCCCCTGGGACTCAAAGAGTTAATAAAAGAATCTGCTTCTTTTTCACTTCCTATTTTGCCTCTTCAAATGTCGAGGGAAATATAAGGTTTTGCTTCCTGCTCTTTTGGTTGCCTCAACCATAGCCACACCGTGCTATTGTAGAGTTTCTCTGATGTTATCTTTCCATCTTGTTCTTGGTCTATCTACGTGGGCAAACCTCTTGATCTGCTGCCTTTGTATGTAATTTAGAATCTGTTTTGTGCCAATTTTTCTCTTATGACATCGTTTCTGAGTTTATCTCTTCTTGTCATTTCTGCAGCCCTTCTCAAACATCTCATTTTGTAAACAAACACTTTATTTTATTTTTTATTTGTATTATGTTTCAAGTGAACTGCTAATACTCACATGATGACAGTATTCTGTTTAAAAACAAAAATTAGAGCTGGAGTTGCCAGATCTTGGGTGCATTAGAAAACATGATTAAGCAACAGGTACTTTAAAAATTGCAAAGCAAGATTGTTGACTTATTATTTGCATTTCAGGTGTATCTGTACACTCGCTTTCATTCCAACCTTCCACCACAGTGGCAGTGTCCTTACTCTCGAAGGTATAAACAGTTTAGATTTGTGTGTGTTTAAAAAAAAAAATGAAAATCTATTTAGAGCAATGTTTTCTCATTCCTAATTTTAATAAGGAATGAGGTAGTTTAGTTTACAATTTATTGCATGGTTTATTTTAGAATGTCTCATCGGGTTAATCTGGCTTGATGTTGACCACATCCATTTTAGAATTACCAACCCAGTCACTGACCTTATAGAAAAAAAAAATCCGCTATAAACTCAGATGTCCCCATATCATGATATTTTGACACTGTCTCATAATGTCTGAGTTTGTCCATAACATATACTAGCAGGGTCAAAGATTTGGCGACATCAGATTCTGGCTATCACTGTTTTGGGTTATCATTTTTGTTTTTATTTTTTTGATGTAGATATTTTGCTTTATTTTCTTTCTGCATACAAATGTGTGTTTCTATGTATTCTGCTGTTTGATGAGCCGAATGGACGTATTGTGTAGTAGTTCTACACCAGCCTCATTGGTCAGTGAAAAAGTGCTCGGCAAGCCATAGTTTGCCCATCCTTTTTTAATTGAACTACACAAGTCATATAGATTGTTGTTTCACCGTACATCTCACCATGTTCCAAAATATTTATGCACACTGTGAGTGTCTTAGAAATGAGAAGAAAAAAAACAGTCCGGAGAGAAAAAAGTTACATTTTACTTACCACATCATCTAGACTAGACAAGTGCTCTAGATTGACAGGGCAGTCTACCTCAGGCTGTATTCATTAAACCATTCCATTGTTTTCCTACATATTCTGTACACAAATTGTTCTGATGATTTCTTGAATGTCAGTTTCTCATCATGTCTCTCCAGTGGCACCAAGAGCTTTTTTCAGTTTGTCTGATTTAGTGAAGAGGCCTTTGTTGGCACTAGTACAACAGAGCTGGCATACAAATACTGTTTGTCAATATTCGCTTGGACATACAAAGATTGTGAACACGTGCTAAAAATAAATTAATACGCTGCAATAGACAAGAAAGGAATTATGAAATTTACTGACATCTTCTTATAATCCATCTCGTATGGCGTTTATAATCATGTTGTCCACGGCCTTCTGTCTCAAATACTGTCAGTTCTGATACAGGTGTTTTTCCTAGCCATATTGCCAAACTGTCCAGCATCTTCTGACATAATGATTTAGAGACATCAGAATTTAAATTATAATTTTTTATTAAAAATGATATTATCGGACAGACTTTGGGAAAAACTTCATGCAGCAAATTCATTGAGAAACAGAAGATCAGATGGTTTGGTCATCTAGTTAGAATATAGCCATAACAACTACCAAAGCAGGCGCTACACATGAAAAGATCTGATGTGAAAGCAAGAGGTCATCCTAAGAGGAGATAAATTGATGACATTAAAGAGCTACTTTGACACGGTATGACATAAGCCATTGCTGCCCATAAAGCAGTGCATTGCAAACTGTTTCTCCATGTGACACTTAATGGCAGAAGTAGAAATTGATGATGATGATTGGAGACATCTAAAACAAATGCTGAAACTATTGGTTGCATGTTTGTTTCTGTAGCGAGGTTCTGCACTTGTCTGAGTTCTGCCACAAGCGTCACATACAGCTGCTTCCAGTGGTTGAGGTGGGGCCCAAGGTACAGTTTGAGGACCTGCCGAAGTTGTATTCAGTGTTTCAGGATTTCTTGGCTTGTTTTGGTACAGCGGAGTAAGTCTGATTTATTTTTATAGTAATTTTATAGCATATTCATTGATCAGAAACAAGTAAAAAAAATAAACGGAGAGTGAAAAATGTTTGTGCTAAATCAAGAGAGAATGTATCTAGTAAGTCAACTAAACTTGAACATGGAGAATGACTAAAATGTCTTCTGCGTTTACTCTAAAAAGGGCGGTTGTATTTGGTTTACATCTAGGCTGCAATATCTTCGCCTTTTGGCCTTTCGTTAGATGGGCAGTGGGTGTATTTGTTTTGTTTTTGTTACTTTAAATGGGACCTCTGATCCCACACAGAGAAAATAATTACTAATAAACTACATTTCTCTGTGCATAACAGAGGAAGTTAAATAATTTGATAGAATCAATAATGTGGAGCTTGGGGAGAGAAATTCTTCTGAATCGAGAGGTTAGAAAAAGACCTTGGTGTTGGATAGAACACATATTGACAAATCTGATAAATGTGAAACCAGAGTGTTGCATTGCAAACCACATGGTCATTGCACTATATGCAGATTGACACACACAAAAAGCACACGGAGAAGAAAATTAAAGGATTGGGAAGAAGATCAAGAGAACATAGGGTGGCTTGCATGGATCGATAAAAGATAGGATAGCTTGGCATGAGTTGGTTGAGAGCCTATGTTTCATTATGGGATGTCCGATGAAGGGCACAAGAAGACATTTGTTGATATAACTGGCCCAGTTTCTGTGACGTGTTGTTGGATCACCAGTTGTTGGTAACTGTCTGATAATTCCCTCCACCTCTGTTGGTCACATGCAGTGGACTTGATGTTTGTCGGTTTCTGTCTGTGGTGTGCTTAGACCAAAGATAAGACCATACATTTCTTTGTTTTATACACACAAATAATAGCCAAATATACAGTGTGTGGCTTGGATCAGAAAGAGTTAAGTTTTTTTTTTTTTTATTTCGTTTAAATATCTGTAAACTGAAAAGGAAGATCAGCAGTGTTTTTGCCTTGACTACAAGTAGTCTCACTGTGGAGGTGATGGCTGTTGCAAAAGCAGTGACCTGGCTAGATGCACATGTTTTTCCCCATGCATGCTTTCTAACTGAAACCATGTATGCTTTCTAACTGAATCCATGCATGCTTAAAAGATAGAAACAGGGTGGGTTCAAAGACAATGGTTGGAGTTTGACGAAAATCTTGTCTGGTTGGAAAAAGTTTCACTTTTGTGCCAAGACAGTTTGGGGTAAGAGGCAAGGAATGAGTTGATTGGCTTGCTGGCAGGGCATGGTAGGCAAGGAAAAAACAGAGTGGGCCAATGTTTTCAGTGGTCTCAGAGTGTGACAGGATCAGTACATGATTGCAAGAAATGGTGGTTAACTGGCAACCTTTATTAAAAACTACAAAATTTTCATTTCAAAAGTGTTGCCAAACATGAACGCTATACAGGAAGCCAAAGAAGAATAGTAAATATACACAGAACAGCTGTTTTATCTGTTGCCACATGCTGAGAGAGTTACTGAAGATGAGATCTCAGCACTGATAGACTATCCAATGTGTGATGAGTTGGGAGGATCAGTCGATAAACTAACTCATGTCTTATTGCCAGGTTTGTCAGTGCTGGTCCCAGATTAAGCAGCTTTATTTTGGACCAAACAGAAGATAATTTGGGAGTTGGAGATGTCATGCGATACTTGCCGATTGCCTCTCACCAGATGCTGCAACTGTGTGGGTACCCATTGCATGACCTCAACACCAGCCTGCTCCAACAGCTGCCTCCAGGGATTATCTTTAAGGAGTATGCAGTTAAAGTGAGCATAAAGTCTCCTAAATGTCATTGAAACTCAGAATGTTTTCTTTTTCGCATTCACTGGTTGTGAACTCTGGCTGAAAGTTTTGATTGTTCGTCCACTTCTGGGTTTAATCTTTGTGTACACATCAAGTTTTACAGATCTGGCTTATTTATTTGCAGCTTATGATTCCTCACCTCTCAGGCAGATGCACTCTGACTTAAAAGGAAACACCCCTGATTAGTTGACTTTTAAGACATGCTTTTAAGGGGGACTCTGAATTTTGAAGTCACATTTCTTTACATGTGTAGTGACAAACCTGCAGCACATCATGACAGCAAGATAGTTAAAGTCTAAGAGAACCAGAGGGAGACCAAGATACATTTGTATCCACAATGAATAACAGTACACATGATAATACGCTGTGGACCATCGGTTTACCAACACCACACTGCATTGGAATATAAGAAAAATAGCAGTATTTTATTTTTCATTTCCTGTCTCAGCACTGATTTGTAAATGAAACCTTGTGTCATCTTTCTCTATTATCATTTTATTTATGAATCTGGTAAAAGTAGCTAAAATTTTCATCTCATATTTACCTACTGTTTCTGTCGGTTGTGATCATCATATTAACATTCTTTCCACTGGCATATAGATATAGAAGCACTTATCATTATTTGTTACTCAAGTAAATGTTTGCACTTTAGCTGTTTTGATTTGCCCAAATCTGGAATATACTCATGAGGTTTTAAACCTCTGGCTTCCAATGTAATTAGTTGTTATGCCATGAGGTATTAAAATTCTGGCTTCGAATGTAATTAGTTGTTATTCCATGAGGTATCAAAACTCTGGCTTCCAATGTAATTAGTTGTTATGCCATGAGGTATTAAAATTCTGGCTTCGAATGTAATTAGTTGTTATTCCATGAGGTATCAAAACTCTGGCTTCCAATGTAATTAGTTGTTATGCCATGAGGTATTAAAATTCTGGCTTCGAATGTAATTAGTTGTTATGCCATGAGGTATTAAACTTCTGGCTTCTAATGTAATTAGTCGTTATTTCATGAGGTATCAAAACTCTGGCTTCCAATGTAATTAGTTGTTATGCCATGAGGTATTAAAATTCTGGCTTCGAATGTAATTAGTTGTTATTCCATGAGGTATCAAAACTCTGGCTTCCAATGTAATTAGTTGTTATGCCATGAGGTATTAAAATTCTGGCTTCGAATGTAATTAGTTGTTATTCCATGAGGTATCAAAACTCTGGCTTCCAATGTAATTAGTTGTTATGCCATGAGGTATTAAACTTCTGGCTTCCAATGTAATTAGTTGTTATGCCATGAGGTATCAAAACTCTGGCTTCCAATGTAATTAGTTGTTATGCCATGAGGTATTAAACTTCTGGCTTCCAATGTAATTAGTTGTTATGCCATGAGGTATTGAACCTCTAGCTTCTGATGTAATTAGTTGTTATTCCATGAGGTATTAAACTTCTGGCTTCTAATGTAATTAGTTGTTATGCTATGAGGTATTGAACCTCTGTCTTCCAATATAATTAGTTGTTATACAGTGAGGTAATAAACCTCTGGCTTCCAATGTAATTAGTTGTTATTCCATGAGGTATTAAACTTCTGGCTTCTAATGTAATTAGTTGTTATGCTATGAGGTATTGAACCTCTGTCTTCCAATATAATTAGTTGTTATACAGTGAGGTAATAAACCTCTGGCTTCCAATGTAATTAGTTGTATGTTATGCGTTGAGGTATGGCCACTGCTTCTTTCTTTCTTCACTATTCAGGTTGTCACATATATATTTCCAGGTAACTTTAAGCACACATTAAACTTAAATTCTTACTTAGCCAAAGGAAATATTGTCTGCCTCTGGAGGAACTTGACTCCAGTTGTTTCAGTTTCCAGAACAGGGCAGACACACTAAAGCTGAGGTTCCATGAGGTGCTGTATCACAGTCATATAACAGTATGCGATGAGCCTCACACATTTTTTTACTCACTCACAAATTGTTGCCTGTAATCTCCTAGAGTCTCCTGTCTCTCAACTTTCTCTATTTCTAATATGTCTGTTCCTCTTTTAACTTCCAGTCTCCTCCCATAGATACAGTAAGCAGTCAAAATGACAAGTAGAGCTACTCAGCTTTTACACACAAAATACTCACTCACACACATATATTTACTCTCTGTCTCATTCTGTCTCACTCACACATATTTGCTCTCTGTCTCATTCTGTCTCACTCACACATATTTGCTCTCTGTCTCACTCACACATGTTTGCTTTCTGTATCTCATACACATATTTGCTCACTGTTTCACTCACACATGTTTACTGTCTGTCTCTTATTTGCACATTTGCTCTCTGTTTCACTCACACCTGTTTGCTCTCTCACACATGCTTGCTCTTTCTCACACATGTTTGCTCTCTGAGTCTCTCACACATGTTTGCTCTGTCTCTCATATACACATTTGTTCACTGTCTCATTCACACACATTTCTTCTCTGTCTCACTCACATGTTTGGTCTCTGTCTCTCTCTCTCACACTGTTGCTCCCACTCATATATGTCTCCATTCTTTCTCAAAGTTCTCTAATAGTTCTCAGGTGGTGTTAAACACCATTGACTTGCCAGTGCAGATTTAGCTTGCTCAATGAGCTGTCTTGACTTTTCTCTATGAGACTAAATATCCAGTATATTGTCTGCCTCTGAAGGAACTTGACTCCAGTTGTTTCAGTTTCAGAACAGGGCAGACACACTAAAGCTGAGGTTCCATGAGGTGCTGTATCACAGTCATATAACAGTATGCGATGAGCCTCACACATTTTTACTCACAAATTGTTGCCTGTAATCTCCTAGAGTCTCCTGTCTCTCAACTTTCTCTATTTCTTAAGTGTCTGTCCCTCTTTTAACTTCCAGTCCCTTAGATACAGTGAACACGCAAAATGACAAGTATAGTTTGTCGGCTTTCCACACAAACAAGTTTTTCTGACTGACTCACTCACACATATTTACTCTCTGCCTCATTCTGTCAGTCTCTCATACACACATTTGCTTTCTGTCTCACTCACACATGTTTGCAGTCCTCTCACACACACATTTGCTCTTTGTCTCACTCACATGTTTGCTCCCTGTCTGACACATGTTTGCTGTCTCACACATGTTTGCTGTCTGTCTCACTTATGTTTGCTGTCTGTGTCTCTAACACATGTTTGCTCTTTGTGTCTCTCACACATGTTTGCTCTCCATCTCACTCACATGTTTGGTCTCTGTCTCTCTCTCACATGTTTGCTCTGTGTCTCACTCACACCTTTTTTGCTCTCCATCTCACTCACACATTTGGTCTCTTGTCTCTCTCACATGTTTGCTCTCTGTCTCACTCACACATTTGTTCTCTGTCTCTCTCTGACATGTTTGCTCTCCATCTCACTCACACATTTGGTCTCTGTCTCTCTCTCACATGTTTGCTCTCTGTCTCACTCACACCTATTTGCTCTCTTTGTCACTCACACATTTGGTCTCTGTCTCTCTCTCACACTGTTGCTCCTAGTCACATATGTCCCAGTTCTTTCTCAAAGTTCTCTAATAGTTCTCAGGTGGTGTTAAGCACCATTGACTTCCCAATGCAGATTTAGCTTGCTCAATGAGCTGTCTTGACTTTTCTCTATGAGACTGAATATCCAGTACATTGTCTGCCTCTGAAGGAACTTGACTCCAGTTGTTTCAGTTTCCAGAACAGGGCAGACACACTAAAGCTGAGGTTCCATGAGGTGCTGTATCACAGTCATATAACAGTATGCGATGAGCCTCACACATTTTTACTGCCTATTTTCTGCCTCTCTCCAGGATATTTCTTCTTCATGTGTTCTTACATCATCCTCTTTACCCTTGCTCTCTTTATTACTGCATTGTATTAACTGTTAACAAGGAACCCAAAAATTTGTTTCTTTCCATTGATCCATGGGAAGTGGATTAAATTCCTTTCTTTATGATAAAGCAAACAATCGGAAGCTCAGTGTGCTCATTAAAAATACCTGATCTTTAGCAGATAATAAATATAGTAGAAAAATTTCCAGACTTTGAAAATATATTAGTATATACAGCATGTGAGGGCAGTATTTTATATTGCCACATAGTTAATCACAGTATTGAGAACCTTAATATTTGAGGATCTTAATGAAGAGAAGTAGACTGTATAGAGGTAGTTTACAGGAAACAATGGGACACATATAGAAGTAGTATTTATAGGTGAGAATGGGACACCTATAGAATGGTTTACAGGGCAGAATTATAGTTAAGAACATCAAGTTAGAACAGGGTATCTGGCATCTGCCCTGTCAGTCTGCCATTCAGATTGGGATTTGTTAACTCAGGATAGTAGATCTTCAGGTATCAGCCTGGAGAGAACAGATCAGTCGAATGATAATCTGCTATGCTGGCAATATATCTCTTTCGTTGTGTTTCATTAATGTTTGCATTTACATTTCAGGCAGATCATGACTACAAGAAGTTCTGCACAACCTTAGTTGATCTAGGGTAAGAATTCTTTTCTTATTTACTTTTTTTTTTTTTGCCCTTCATTTCATAAAGGAGCATAGGTTTTCAGCTAGTTCACTCTCAGCTTTTTGTCAGCTTGTCACGATTGATTGGCTTTTACTGTGCTGAAGAGAAATGCATTGTGCTCCGCTCTGTAATGCAGAGGTGGTTCAAACAGTTCCCTACATTCCTTCTTTTAGAGTTTGGTCAATATCAGTGGTACTCAATATGAATACACTTTCTGATACTGCAGTATCTTTGAAACAGCTTTTTGAACTGTCCCAACTGACACATTGAATTTCTTCTGCTAGTAAACATATGCTTTGACATTTCATTTATATTGCTGCATCAGTTTTGGTGATGGTTTTTTATGTTGTGACAGTATGCGCTTGACCTGGCCGTGGAAGATCTGTCGTGAACTCACATACTTTTCAAAACATGTATGCTCAGTCTGTCAGTGTTGTCTTCAATATTTATTACCGTTTGCTGCCTGCATTCTTCAATGAATGTTCACTGGTTGACATTTTTCACATGAGAGCAACTGAATCATTGCTCTTTGAGATTCTTTGGGAGGATTTTGAATAAACCCTGCCATTTTTTCAACAGTCAGAAACAGAACTTATTTGTTATTGGATGAAAGCGTGTGCTGTTTTACTCAACTGTTAGTGCTTATCACACAACTGTGGCATGATCATGTTTAACGCACGCAATTACACGCGGTGAAGCACAAACAGGTTTCAGATCAACCCTCCTAATACATACTCTGTAAAAGCAGAAATGTTTTTGTTTTTTTCCTGAGACAAAAAATATGAATTTAGTTATTTTAGGATTATCAGAAAGAAGATGGACAGATGCTAGCTACATAAGAGAGTTGACTACATGGGCTGTGAGTCTCATGCCTCCTCATAGCACAATATAACACTTTCGTCTGGAAAGACAGAAAGGTTCCAGTGTATGTTATGTTATAGACAAATAATGCCGCTTAAATCTCTTGGAGGGGGGGGGGGGGGGGGGGGGGTGAATGTTTCCCTTTACCAGAGCTGCAAAAAGATTTAACTTCTTGTCTTTCTTTCAGAATCAATTACTTTGTGTGTCCTGGTACCGCAGCATGGAACAGGTAATTTCTTTTATAGAAAAAAAATTTTCTTTGTTGTAAACACAGAAGTAACAACTTATTTGTTACTTAATAATGCAATAATTGATACCACATTTTAATTGTCTTTATTTATTCTGTAATAGTAAGTATGGGAGGATAGAACCACAGTTACAAGATTTCCTTTTGTAATTTCATGTTGATATGTTAATTATTTTACAAATTACTATCATTTTTATGTTGTTGTTTTTTCAACTTTAATTTATTTTGAGATGATTATATGTGACATTATTCAGTTAAGAAATTGTAAGGTAAACACTAACTGGAACATTTTGTTTAAACAATTAACTTTGTAAAAAAATATGACATCATTTTAAGCAATGATGACTTTAAAAGCTAGAGTGGAATCTTTTGTCTTTTGGCAGTACATGCAGAAATCAAGGCCCGCATTAGTGATAACTGGTGCAGTGAAAACACTGCCCCTATATGTATGTATGTATGTATGTATGTATGTATGTACGTACGTACGTACGTACATACATACAAACGCGCGCGTGCATGCATGCATACTGAAGCACATTAAAACGCACCACTATAATATATACTGTTGCCGAGAAGTTGCTCGGAAAAAGTGTTGAGTTGATTTTCCCCGTGTTTGTCATTCGATAGAGAGCAAATAGCTGCTGGAATAGAAAGTGCATGATTCAGCCCAAGGGTTAATGAAAACAAGAAAGTTACATGAGCAGCATAATCCCCAACAGCTTTGACCCTGAAAATATGCAAGTGTTGTGGCAGTATAGTTGGAACACAAAGGCTGTTAAGATGAAACATCCAGTACAAGTGCTTGCAGCGCCTTGCCTATGTGAAAATGACCGTCAGGGATCCATTGGAATTTGGAGATTGGAATGAGCCTGTAGGCCATTGCCCGAAGAATGAATTGCCACTCCGGCACTATTGTACATTATAGAACCAGCCACTAGTTACTGCCCCTGTGCAAGTTCAGAATTTTATGCTGAGTCACCTAAGGAAAAGTTTTCTCCTGAAAGAGCAATAGTGAGTAGACATGGGTAAATCTTGAATGACAGTCATGTGACAATTCAAAGATACAGGCCTTACTGCAAGAGGACATTGTGTAGAGCCAAAGTTCACTCACAGACATTGTCAGCCTCCCCTGAAATTGCCAGAGCAACATGTTATCAGACAACATGTCTAGACTATAGTGGAATACTGTCCTGTTCATTCATGCCTGGACTTTCTACCCCACCAGGACATCACACAAGCGATGAACACCCGATGACACATGTGGGTGAGGATCACCGTGGAGAGGTCCCAGAAACCGCGTTCAGCCTTTAAGCCATATTTATGGCCAAGCTATACTGCGGTCCCTGGCAAGAGCCAGAATAGGGCTTCAAATAAAGAATAATTTCATCTTAAAAAGGATGGGAAGGATGCACAGTCTACATCCAAGTGCCTGCAGCTAATCTGTAATAGCTAGAAGCTGCTCTTACACATGAATAGTGACTTGATCACTCAGAATTTTCTTCAGAGACATGTGCCTTTTCATGCAAAGTCATTGCCAAGCTGTTTGCAAGCACACAATGGACATACCAGATACCGAGGATTTTTAAAAAAAGATTGCAGTTTTGGTTTTCTCCCTTGCCTGCACAAAATAATTGATTGCAATTTTGGTTTTCTCCCTTGCCTGCACAGAATAATTGATTGCAGTTTTGGTTTTCTCCCTTGCCTGCACTGAATGCAGTGAATTTCATAATAATCAAAAGTACAAAATAACTTCCAGCATGTATTCAAAGGAAAATGAATAAAGATTCCAAATATATAAACTTGTAAACACTTACATTTACATTTCAAACTCTGTTGCTGAAGTACACAGTGGTGCATTTTTTATATGCTTTAGTGTGTATGTGTGTGAGCATATATATATATATATATATCCTGTCTCAATTTCTGACATGGAGTTCAGTCCATCATTTTTAGCCTGTCGTAATAGTGTTCTTCTTAATGTTTCCCTGGGACATTCTCTTTTTCTCAGACCATTTGTTTCCCATTTCAGTGCTTGTTTTGTGATTGTTATCTCATTTCATCCGAGATGTGTGTGTGTGTGTGTAATAATAAGTTGTTAAGCATAAAAATTGTGATGATATTTTTTTGTAATATTTACGTAGCACAACCATTAAGGAAGCGAATGGAAGCGTTGGCTTTTTCAGTGATGCTGTAAAACCATACCCATGCTTGCAAAGTGATTTATTGATCCAGAAAGTTAAGGTGTCTCTCTTCTCCTTAGCGTTGGCTAGCTATAAACTGCAGTGTACAATTCTTTTTTTGGAGCATATTCATGTGAATTGCATAACCTATCTGAAGTATCTGGACAACCACTTGATCGTTAGTTACAAAACAACAAAGATGGCACTATTTTTGGCACATCCTAAGACAAAGTGAGCAGAGAATTGCCAACCAGGTACTGAAATGGGAAACGAATAAATAGAGGAAATAAGAATGTCCACGGGAAACTTACAGACAAACATTAATAAGAGAGGCCAGAGGTGCCAGGATTCCATCCTTGACATCGACAGGATTGCACAGGATATAAGGGTAAAATAGCATGATGCTTCTTCCTCAAAGTCGGAGTACATTTGTCCGGGAGGAAGGGAATGGCAAAAGCCTGTAAAACAGTTGCACATGCAAAACTCAGGTCCGGGTAAATGCCAGAAGTCCAAATGGATGATCTACCCGGACCTTCCACCAGAATTCACAGCCAGTGAACGAAGAAGAAGGATGATGATGATGATGACCTATGTCTGTTATTTAATTAATGCGAAATAGTTGCTTACTTTGTTGAGCGGCCTATTACGTGTTTATAAATGTTACATGTAGTATTTAAAAAGAAAATGTGCTCTGCCCTCTAGTCTTGCTGGATGTCCAGAGGCAGCAGTGAGTAACATAGTGTCTGCTGCTACTAATGCGGAGGGAGCCCTAGGAATGGTGATCTGTGACTGGACCGGCAAAGGTCACCTCAACCATCAAGTGTTCTCTTGGCCAGGAATCCTGGCAGCAGCAGGGCTTGCATGGAATAAAAACACTCCCAAGGTAACAAGTGATCCTGCATTTGTGCCTTATGTTGTTGTCCGTGTATGTTGCAGTATATGATATGTTGTCCATGAATTTTACTGTGTGTTGTGTATGTTTTGTCATTGTATGTTGTGTATAGACCGTGTGTATTTACTGTGTGGTTGTGTATGTTACTCTGTGTTGTGTTGTCACTGAGTTTTACTGTGTGTTGTGTAATGTGTTGTCCGTGTGTATTAACTGTTTTGTGTATGTTTCTGTGTTTTTGTGTAATGTGTCGCTGTATAACTGTGTCCTTATTATCTCATTATCCTTTATATCTTTAGTTAGCTTCATATAATCTACATTCTTCCTAAGCAAGTACCAGCCGCGATTCGAACCTCCGGCGTACTCATATTTCCAGATCATTGTCCTCTGTTGACTGAATACATTATGTACTGTCAACATCCCATTGACATAATTATAACTCGCTTCATAGGTGTTTCACAATAACATGATCTGTGAGTATACGGGTCTGCAAATGAAATGTGTTACAATTCAAAACATTGCAGTAAGATGTATTAATATTTTAGCAGAGGCTAAACGGTGTAACTTGTATCATTCATAATCAAACTCTAAGAAGAGGATAATGCACATTTTGGGTTTAATTAGATGATCATTCCATAGCTGGATCCAAGACTGGAAGCATACGTGAGTGAAAACAGGATCAGAAGGAAGAGAGAAAATATTAGTTTTGGCAGAGAACATATTCAAGAAAGTTGCATAAAGTTTAATTTGAATGAAACAGTGACACAAGGGAAATGGAGGATTTGGCAGAGAAAGAACAGTGGCATTGAATTATCCACAACTACGTTATGAAGGACAGTGAGGGGTGCTGAAAGTATGCGAATACACATTTGGCTCATAAAAAGTAAACAATTTGTATCAATTACTGTGTATTCAATTTTTTAGGGGTGTGCAGATTATTAGTCCAACAAAGTTTAAAGAAATTTTTTGCTTCAAGAAAACAGCAGCAGTTGTAAATTATAAAAATCAGAAGAACATGGGAAATCTAAGACAGAATAAAAAAAAATGTGTATAGATCTGTACCTGGGTTTTCCAGTTAAACTATGAGGAAAGACACTATAAAATCACACATGATTTAATGTATATCAGAATCATACTATATCAGAATCATACATTGTTTAAATAGTCTCTTTTTTTTTTCTAGCTTTTAAAATTTGAATATTTTGCTAAACAGTGCCTGCTTAGCCTGCTTTCTTAGATGTTTTGAATAGACCAGAATTTCCCATATATTTATAGAAGGTCAGAATTGTTGGCAGTGTTGGAAAACAAACAGCTAAAGTCTCTTGTTGATTTTAACTGGACAGGATATTCTAGAAAGCTCTCTACCAGCGTTGTTGGACCAGCATGTGTACAGAGACAGAGGAGGAGCGTTGGGGAGCATCATCATTCAGTTGGGTCAAGCAGAAACTTATGCCATCCGTAGAGCGAGGAATCAAGGAAGTAAGTGGTTCCATCCATCATAACAGTTAAACAGACATCATGTAGCAGGTCCTTTACGGAACATTGCTCTCATCAGTATCTGCCAAGAAAGAAACTCATTCTTTTGCCAGCTTTCTCATCTTATGCACTTTTCAACCCACGGTGTCTCTCATATCCTGTGCCCAGTGATCCCATGGTATGCTCACATGCAAATGTTTCTCCATTACACAAGGTCACACAGTATGCTCACATACAAATGTTTCCCGTTTATGCAGTGATCACACAGGTGTGTGAACACACAATTATTTCCTCGTTACACAGTGATGACACATTACACTCACATACAAATGCTTTCCCATTACAAAGTGATCACACAGTATGCTCTCATACAAATGTCTCCCCATTCCACAAGGATCACACAGCACACTGTATACAAATGTTTTCCCCGTTACATAGTAATCACACAGTATGTGGCCACATTTATTTGTATAGACATGCTTGCTTATTTCTGTGTTGATTTATTTCTTCATGGACAGATGAAGATTTAAGTGATTTGCCAGAAGAGCAGGGGTCGATTCTCTACAGATTTCTCATCCATCCTGATGGTGTTCCACTAGAGTACCTTTCTACTGATGCTCTACAAGTAAGTCTAGACTGTAATGTTGTTTGTGTTGGGTACTTTGAACCGGAGTCTTCAGTGTACTGCATTATTTTTAGTGTGCAACCCTTTCAACTCGATATCTCAGTAAACTGTAGTCTTAGTTGAGATTTCACCTTCATTGCAATCTGGTTTCCCCATACTTCCTCCGTTCATATGCAAATTAAATGAAATGTCCCTCACTGTCGCATTTGAAAAACTGGTAAACAGACAGTCCCAGAACAGTCCAGAAATTTGCACACGCAGTAATGCATGTGGCAGTTGCTAAACCAACAGTACCCACTAGAAACGCAGTTTGTCGTTGATGGAAGAAGTCGAGCATGATAAGTTGTCTATACACACATAGAACCACCACATAAGGTATTTCACCAGCTCACGTGTAAACTGGCTGCCAGCCATATTGAATACCACGACACAACCGCTGCATAGATGAAAGACATTCCACGTGAAAAACAGCTCACAGGGCTGCATCAAGCACTAGCTATAGTCTTGTTAGTGTGTAACCCTTTAAACATGAGATCTCAGTATTCTGTAATCTTGTTAGTGTTTGGCCCTTAAACTTGAGATCTCAGTTACAATTAACAAGTTAATAAACTTCTGTTTGTGGAAAATAAAATTGCAGTGAACGTTCATGAACTTTTATATGCTGTGTGTTGAAGTAGTGCAGTTGGTAAGAACACTGTTGTTCGCTGGGTTCCGAGAGTTAAAGCTTCTGAAAAGGGCACAATGGAGAAACAGACTGAGGATGTTATTCATGGTGTGAAGAAATAGTCTATGTGAACAGGAAAAACCTGATACGTGCAAGGTGTGCATGCCTTTGTTCTGTATTGACGTATAAGGCCATAGTAGTGGATGAAGATAATGTAGAACATTAAGACATATAAAGAGCATAATGCACAACATTTAAGAGAATTTTCTAAATAAGAAAACAAATAAGAAAATGTCTGGACAACCACTTGTATCATCCTCATTTATAAGACAGAACAGGGCAGTATACTGGTCACATCACAAGGAGAAACAGAGAGACAATCACCAAATAGGCACTGAGATGGGAAATGAAGGTATTGAGAAAACAAATGTCTAAGTAAAATCCTAACATGAAGGTTTTTGAGAGAGGCCAGAGGCAATGGCCTTGATTCTGTCCATGATATTGAAATGGTTGCTCAGAATGGAATCAATATGGAGGACTAAGCCGTGAGCCCTATGTGACTTATAATGACACCATCAGATGATGGTGAGGCTCTCTGTTAGGTTTAGGATGATGGGTTCTCCTTGCAACTATGGCCACATATTGGAGGAGTACGCCGGAGTTCAGTCCGCTGGCCGCATTGCAATTACGGAATGGAGACGGAACGAATTACACAACAAAGTGAGGTCTATGATGACAGCAGTGCAATGCACCTAACCCTACCCCTAACCCTAACCCTATGTTGACAGCAGTGCACTGCACGCTATCGCTCACGCTGTCTATCGCCAACACACACTAATTATGTCATTTGTTTCGTTCCCTCTTTTCCACTCTGTAATTGCAATCCAGCCAGGGGACTGAACTCTGGCGTATTTGCAAGGAGAGACGGATGATGTGTATCAATTTGTGACTCAATGTATGTACACAACTTCAGGCAGACTCTGTATATGAACTCTTGTTGTGTCTTCAGCATGTCACCAAACTTTTAAGGAAATGCCAGGCAGCTCTTTCTGATGTGAACTCTCAGTGTGTGTATGGGGATGCAATGAAGACAGAAGTCCAGCTGACTATTGAGCTTATGGTTTTGGCTTGCAAGTAGGTCATCTGTTGATCACAGTGTAGCCACATGATCTGTTTTTCAGTATACAATGTGAAATGTTTTCCCAGATTTTTTAAAGATAAAAAACTCTGGGGGTCATCTTATACATGAAATATTTGTTCTTCTAATTTTGGGCCCAAATAATTAGGGGTCATCTTATACATAGGGGGGGGGGGGGGGGGGGGGGGTCTTCATAACTTGAAAACTTCAGTAATTTATCCAGTTGTCTGAAGTAGGTCACTCTTTGTCACTTAATTTATCCATTTGTCTGTAGCTGGTCACTTTTTGTCCATTAATTTGTCTAGTTGTTTGTAGCTGGTCACTTTTTGTCCTCTAATTTGTCCAGCTGTCTGTCGGTGGCTTATCCTGCTTTGTCCTTTAATTTGTCCAGTTGTCAGTAGCTGGTTATTCTTGGCTACAGCGCGTACTCTAGTACACTCTTTGTCCCCTAAATGTATCCATTTGTCTGTAGCTGGTCACTTTTTGTCCATTGATTTGTCACCTGTGTGTAGCTGGTCACTTTTTAGCTCTTAATTTGTCCAGTTGTAGATAACTGGTGACCGTAGCCCTTAATTTTTCAAATTGTATGTATCTGGCCACTAGTGTCTTTTAATTTATCCAGTTGTCTATATCTGGCCACTTTTTGTCCCTTAATTTCTTCAGTCGTCTATTGCTGGTCACTCTTTGTCCCTTAAAATATCCAGTTAGCTGGTCACTCTTTGCCCTCTCTTTTGGTATTGTTTTAAGAAGATTCTATTTATGATGTCTGTTTTTTGTTGTTGTGTGAGGGGAAGGGGTCTTGTAAGGGCCCCATCAGTATTGTCTTGCATTTGGGCACATTGCATAATAGTCAAATCATGTAATTCTTCATAAAATAAACACATCGATTTTAGTGCTTGTTTAGACTGAACCACACGTAATGATGTGTGGTTGTTTAGAGTCAATCAATCAATCAGGTGCCGTCTCCACAATAAAGGTTGGCTGCAATGGATCTCCAACAATTCTCTTGCCCTTGATGTACACTCACTCATACTGCTGTTCGTCCATCTCTTGATGTTATCTTCCCACTTGTAACGCTGTCTGCCTCTTGCTCGCATACCTTGAACCTTTCCCTCTAGGATGATCTTTACAATACTGTTATGTCTTTTAATGTGACCAAAATATTTCACTTGTCTCTTTTTTATTTCACCTAGCAACTCTCTTTTCATTTAGAGTGGATCACATCAAATAAGCACACAGGATGTGATGCTTGTGTAAATGTATTATATGAAACAAATATGATGGGGTGCTTGTATGGCGTGAATCATATAGATATGATTGTCTTTTAGAGCGAATCACATAAAAAGCATGCAGCATGGAAATGCTTGTGTAGACTGAATGATATGAAATAAGTAAGATGGAGCACCCATGTTGAGTGAATCACAATAAGCACAGAGGATGGATTAAATCACATTAAACAAGATGAAGTGCCTGTGTAGAGTGAATTAAATAAAGATTAGGTGCCTGTGTAGAGGGAATAAAATAAACTAAGATTAGGTGCCTGTGTAGAGGGAATCACTTGTCCAGGTACACCGTGATTGGCCCGTGCACAATAAAAGCAGAACAACATGCACACACAAAAAACAAATCAATGTTTTGGCCGGGGCCTTTCTTGGCATGAACTAAAGGCCCCGGCCGAAAGGTTGATTTGTGTTGTTCTGTGCATATTGTTCTGCTTCCCCATTTCATTAAGTTTTTTTAATTCACAGTTCACTGGTTTAATTTTTTGGTATAAGCTTGACTGCAGTCACCCCTATTTTTACTAGATTTTTCTTAATATGTGATCTCTAAATGTTGTACATGAAGTTATTACAACTGTGAAACTGGATCCATTTTGATTCAATTTTTCATTTTGTTTCCAGGATTGGTAAAGCTCTAGTGTTGTCAGGTCGCAAACCTGATAGACAAACTGGCATTGGCTTTGTTAACTTTGGAATCAGCAATCTCACAGTCACGACACGGACTGACCTGGCTAACAAGTAATGAGATGTTTATGTTTGTTTTGAAATATTGCATGTACACTGTCCAACGCTTAAATAGCGAGACTGATTTTATTATGGCCAAGACAAAAACATCATCAGTGAAACAAAGCACATGGTTGAACAAGCAACGTTAATGTTAATTTTGCAGATCATAAATGAATGCTGCTTGTTTGAAGGATGTTTCTTTCTTCAAGGATAGCATTTTTGTCTTGGCCATAAGGAAATCAGTATCGTTACTTAATTATCAGATGGTATTTCAAGTTTGAAAATATTATGCGACTTCTTTTTATTTAGGAACCTTAGGAAGAACTTTATCTAGGAAGATATATACATTAGTGATCTACATGGCAAGGTGACTGAGCTTTTTAACCCACACTCCACTAGTTATGGGTTTGGTTTCAGACTCTTTATCATCCTTTTTTGGGTTCTGGAGCCCCATTGTGGGAGGGGGGGGGAAAGGAATAGACACTGCCCTATTAACAAGCATGTTGAAAAAGTCAACTAATTAAGGTTGTTTTCTGTGGTTGAAGTGCATCTGACCGAGATGAGCGGAACCAACAGTCAGCATACAAATAAGCTAGATCTGTAAAATGAATGTGCGCACAAAACTTAAGTTCTGGAAGAAGACCAAAGGTCAGGAATAGACTTGACAACCAGATCTTTCCTTCACAGTTTACAGCTGGTGGACACGAAGAAGAAGCAGAAGACTCATCATTTTGAGTTATACAGGCGTTGGAAGGCGACCCCTGCCAGTCATTGCTGGAAGTATGGAGGTTTTTTGATGCTCTTTCTAGTCAAGGAACTATTTTGAAGAAAGAGACTATAACTTATGGGTTGAACAGTTTGAAGGCACATTGTATATATTCCTCTTAGTGTTCAATGACTGTAAACTGTACAGTTTTGTTTGGTTGTCCATTTCTAGACTTTGATGTTGTTACAAAATTTGAGTTTTGCATGCATATGCTTTTTACAGGTCTGGCCTATTTTTTAGGCAGACTATTGGTTCCTCAACTCAAGCAGATATACTCTAACTCTGAAGGAAACTCTGTCACCTTGTACGAAATGCTTGTTAGAGAGGCAGTGCGCGCCACCCCCCTTTTCCGCCCCTACACAGGTGAGGGGCGCCGAAACCCATATGGCAAGCACCGAGTATATGTCAGACTCATATTTTTATAGATCAGCCGGCACTCTGTGGGTAATATGGTTAGCAACATGCCGGCCACCTTTACTTTCCAGGTCATTACCTGGGATTCATTTTAGACTTTATGGACCTAGAAGCCACAGTCAATTTTGAAAGAAACAAACTGCTTTGATGCAGGTTTGAACCCTAGACTTTTAAGCCAACAGGCAAACATCTAGCCACTGCTCCCTTTAGGTTGACAGCTGGTGTAGTAAAGATTTGTCCACTAAACACCCTTTTAAAGATACATGCTATCACAACTGTCTGTCAACATGAGTGACACTTGAGCTTATGTATTTTTTTTTATGGTGAGTTATTTTATTATTATTATATCAGAACAGACAGCATGTACACATCCATATGAGAAGGAAGTGGAGAGGTAAACTGCACCTGTGTGTACATTGCCATTAAAATCTCTTGTGTTTGCAGGAAAAAAACCACCTGAATCATTATTCTTCGTGTATACCAAGCAGTGTGGCATATGTTGTGAAACTTTTCAGTTTTGGTCAGAGGACACTAAAGAAATCTGGTCACTTCATTTAAATTGTTACAAAATGTGCTTAATACAAACTGTATACATGTTGCATTTTTAAATGTAATGTGCTTGTGACTGTTCATCGTCTGTATGATCAATTTTTAGCTAATGCTGTAAATTGTCCTTGGAACTGAAGAGCTAATTGCTTATGTTTTTCAGGTTGCTAGAAATTGTCAAACAGTTTAAAGATGTGTGGGCCCTTCGGTCAAACCCCACAGTTGGACTCAGTGACTCTCTGCAGAGACTTCGAAGCTTGTTCAAGGTTCTTCTGCCAGAATCGTCTCATTCAGAACTTGTTAACATTGAACTGGACCATTGATAACTGGTCAGCTTTCTGGGGGCCATATCTCATTGTGGATGTACAGGTTGGGTTTATTTATTATTCTCATTGCACCTCAGCTGAGGAAGGCAACGAAGAGCATTTTAATATGTTATCAGTGGAGGTTTGATTACCTTAGTGTGGGGTACATGTTTTAAAGAAAGGACATTTATTAGACAAATGCTTGACAGGAATTATCTTCCTCAGTTGAAAGATCTAGACATTTGTGGAAGAACAAAATTGTGCCTTCAAGCAAACAGCACTTGAAACCACATGCTCTGATCTTTTTTTTTTTTCTTTTAAAGCACCATCTACACAAGTTTTGAATGAAAATGCTTTTTTTTTTAAATATGATGCTTAATATGTTATTTACATCTCTCCTCTCTGTTGCCTTTCATCCCACATTGGAAGTATATCTTTAACCAACTCACTCCTTGCTAGCTGCTTAACCTGCAGCTGCTGCCATTGGTATATACCACACCTGACATCCCCTGTTGTGCCAACAGCTTCAGGAAGAGGTGAGCATTGGGAAGGAAATCAGCCTTATCCTTGGAAGGAAGAGAAAATACAACCTGAAAACATGAGATTATGGCTGTTCAGACCCTTCTCCTAGTTTGGCCACATATGTGGGAATCTCTTACAGCAGACAAATAGGGCAGTATTCTTCTGATCCAACACTTCTGCAGCATGTTTTTTTACTTTTCCTTTGGAGTAAGCAATGCAGGCTGAGAGAGGGATCATGCTGAATGGGCACCACATGGTTTCTACAATACTGCTCAGGCTTTGTGCTGTGGAGATGGGCTGTGCATCCCATGCCTCTATATAACACAGTCATCTGGAAATACTGAAAGGTGCCAGCAGTGCTTTACTGAAAGTTATGTGGAATCTGTTATATTTAAAATAATTCAGTTAAATGAATTTGTACAAGACATACATACTATAAAAGAGGAGAGGGACATTGAGCATGAGGTAGACCAGTAACAGGATGGAAAGATAACATCACAGAAATTCTACAACAGTATGATATGCCATGCTTGAGGGTGCCAGAAGAGCAAGATGTCAAAGTTTATATCTGCCTCAAAACCCAAGAGGGGGGGGGGGGGGGTTAAAGAGGATTTGAAATTGAAGAAAAATGAGAAGCCTTAGTAAGCATGGCATAGGAAAGTGGTGTGTGTCCATACTGTTTTTAACGGCCATGAATATCTAGTGCTTTTGTTTCCTGCATTTCCAGGATATTTAAGTATGTGCACTTGTATAGGCAGTCAGATGTGTTTATTTCTTACTATATATATTGGACGTATATAAACAGCTTCCAGTTGCTGTCTTATTCACTGCATTTTTGTTTCTGATATAAACAAGTGGGAATGGTTATTTCATTTGATGTTTTTTTTAATGAAAAAAATTAATGACGAAAAGAAGTGTGTAATACTGTATTTTTATTTTTCATATATTTTATCAAACAAGTAATTTACCTGCTGAAGTTTTTCATGATTTTTGTCACCAACATTGTGCTACTAGTGTCAAGACGTGAACATTAAGAACAACAGGAAAAAGAAAATGGAAATGAAATGTCTACAGCGAATCATTCATGTAACAAGAAGAGGCAGGATAAGGAATTAGGATATTGGAGTGAAACCAGTGTTTAACTACATCAATAGTCAAGAGATCAGATGGTTCAGACATGTGTCAAGACATGACACTTCACTGCAGAGAGCTGTGTCACTTGACACAATGGAAGCAAAGCTGCAGACCACCCTTGCAAGTGATGGATAGGTGGAGAATTGGAGGCCATGAATGCCAGCATCTGTGTTACATGCACCAGATATCTCTTCAAAATATGACACTGAAAGGCAGAACAGGGTCTTGGGGGAAAGGGGAGGGGGGGGGGGGGGGGGGGGGGGGGGGGGGGGGAGGGGGGGGGGGGGGGAGGGGGTCCTATAACACTCTAGAAAGACTCCATGAGGGAGCATACACAACAGGAGTCTTCCAATCATCAGAAGTTGTCCCCTTCAGTAAGTGTTTGGGCCTCTGATATATACAATGTTATAAGACGTGTCCAAAAGATGGCCATCTTATTGTGTAGATGAAGGGTTCCCAAATTGTTTGACTTGCTGAAACCTAGGCGAGGCACCTTAGACCTAGCATGCCCTATGTCTTACAATTTCATTTTGTTCAGATGTATTATTATGGAGTGTAGGAAGAGGGGGTAGATAGTAAGCAAATGTAAAAGTAAAGACATTGAGCACCGGTTGGGAACAACTGATGTAAATTAACTTTAGCTACCTTGGAAGGCTAAAAAGGCAAGAAACGTCCGAAGTAGTTCAGTATATCAAAGGTTATAAACGTCGAAGCTATGCTGTAAACAGGCACTACACAATTAGTCCTTGCACGAAGAAGAAAAAGAAGACCTTAATTGTAAAATTTTACCAATCGTGGTAAGTCTTGGAAAATGAAATAAAACTAATTCAATCAGTTGAGTTTAAAAGATTTAAGCAGAAATGTAGATAAAGATGATAGACAGAAATGTAAAAAATACAAATACATATCACATACCAAACACACAATTGCTGACACTAGCTGAAAGTTTAACAATAAAAATGAACAGTTATCCCCTTATATAAACAGAAGGAATTTGTTATAAATTTGAAGTTACTCTGGTAAGTCATGTGACTATACTGAGCCGCCAATGTGGAGTTTTTGGAAGTACCTAAACAAATTCCGGTGAATCAAGGGATGAGGAAAAAGCACCGGCTTTGGAGAAGACAATATTTTTCAGCGGAACCCGCAGGGCCAGTAAAATAAAGGTAGGCCAAGCAGTAATGGAATAGGGAATTAGAAACAGGTGACTAAAATGGGGAAAACATGGGATAAGCTACACATTATAGTAAAAAACAGGTTGACTTGAAATCTGAGGGCATTTGTTCCATTGGAGAAAAAAGAGCAGAAGTAGTTGTTTACAATGACTATTCAAGCTTTCTGTTTCTTATCACAGTGTTGGGATTTTTACATGGATGTTTTATACTTGCAGTCTTCATGACCTTGTCTCCCACTGCTTCCTGTTTTGTATCTATGTCTTTTTTTTTTTACATTCTGATGTTTTATACATGACCAGTTTATTGCAATGGTTTTTTTTGTTATTGTTTAATCTTCTTTATAAAGGACTATGACTTACAAAGTAGTTCAGAATTAACACTAAACCAGTGGCTTGTGAGCTTCTTATTTTTATGCAGCTTGATTTTGTCTCACTTATATCTAACCAGGTATCCTAAGAGTCAGTGTGGCTGCCAGCCCAAAATTCTTAGGCTTGCATCTACAGCATTGTTGATTTTTATAATTTTCCGAGGGGGAGCGGTCATGGTGTAGCGGCGAGACAATCACCTTAGGCTACAAGGTTTTGGGTTCAAATCTGCATCCAGTCAGATTTTGCTTTCAGAAATAACCTTGGCTCCCTGGTTGACCCAGCCTAAAATGGGTAGGAGGTAGAGTCCCGAAAGGTAAAAGCAGCCGGGATGATGTTGACCACATCACCCACCGAGTGTTGATTGGTCTATAAAACATCAGATTAGCATTATATTCCCAGTACACCTGAAGATGTGGAAAAGGGTCTCTTAGGTCTCCCAGGATGGCCCATCCTAAAACTGGTATCAGAAGATCTCCTGGGAAGTAAAGGCAGCTGGCATAGTGTTGACCAAAGATTCCTCTTTACAAATATGCATTTTGTAACTGATGCCTGATGTGCCAGTTACACGAAAAGGGTCCTTTATACTTTTATCATGTTATGATATTACTTATAATAGTGACACATTACTTTTACTTTACATCATCGATCAGCAACTCCTTTACAGATCACCAGTCTCGTGCTGGCACGCCTTCTTTTTCACATTCACCAGCTGTAAACTCCAGCAGAAAGTTCTAGCTTTCGTCCACCTCCAGGCTTTAGTCTTCTTCCAGAACCTGAGTGCTGCGTGCACATCTGTTTCACAGATCTTGATTATCTGTATACAGGACCGTCGATTCCTTGCCTCTCAGGCAGATGTACTCTGACTTTGAAGGATGGCCCCAATTAGTCGATGACAATAATGACATCACTTGTCTTGACTAGCTTTCTAGAGACGTATTTTTGATGATAATAATGACATCACTTGTCTTGACTAGCTATCTAGAGAAAGAGAAGTATTTTTGATGATAATAATGACATCACTTGTCTTGACTAGCTTTCTAGAAAAGTATTTTTGATGATAATAATGACATCACTTGTCTTGACTAGCTTTCTAGAGAAGTATTTTTGATGACAATAATGACATCACTTGTCTTGACTAGCTTTCTAGAGAAGAATTTTTAATGATAATAATGACACCACTTGTCTTCGCTAGCTTTCTAGAGAAGTATTTTTGATGATAATAATGACACATCACTTGTCTTGACTAGCTTTCTATAGAAGTATTTTTGATGATAATAATGACACATCACTTGTCTTGACTAGCTTTCTAAAGAAGTATTTTTTAATGATAATAATGACATCACTTGTCTTGACTAGCTTTCTAAAGAAGTATTTTTGATGCATTAGCCTTTCAGTTTGGCATATAAAAAATATGTCTCTAAGTTTTCTATGCAAAAAACTGTTAAAACATCTCATTGAGACTAGCATTGAATAGACCTGTATTTTCATCATCGTATGATGTTTGACAACCCGACATATCTTGGCCATTGCTCGATAACAGCTGAAATTGTTTTTTTAATACATATGCGTGACACTTAACATCCATGGTTTGTTCTTCATTTAATCTTTTTGTGGATTCATCCTTAAAAGGGTGGTTAGCAACATTTGGTTGATGGGTGGGCTGCAATATCTTTGCCCTTTGGTTTCTTAGCATCTAGTTTTAGCACACTCCTATTATTCACTTTTTACGACATGCTTGTTAAGGGTCGGTGGGCCTGTTTTTGTTTCCTCCATAAAATGGTGTCCCGGAATTGACACAGGGATGATATGTTAAATTACG